ATTTGTAACAGTAAGGTTAGCAGCAAACAAATTAAACATAAGGCTGGGCTACACTCCATTCAGATGCCCCAAAATATTAAAGTATTCTGTACAAAACACTCTTAGTGCTGACCAGTTTGGTTGCCACACAAGGGGTCTGTTTGGATCCGGAGGTTGTGTGAAACAACAAACTTATATTTATATAGCACCTTTCATGTCAGGAGGACGTCCCAAATCTTGTTCTGAAACAGAACAAGACTAATTGCCAATGTCAAAGCGATCAGCTGTGAGGAAGAAATCGATGATATCTAAAATTAGACTAGATCTTAGAATAGATACTTAATGTGATACAGTAAAACTATAACAGAATATTCAGATATGAGGAGGCAGCAGAATTAAGCACAGGTTCTGGTTATGAAGGGCAGTTTGGAATAAACCCAGGAAGTGTTTCTTTACACTGAGAATAATTGACAACAGAAGTGGGTTATCCAGAACTGTAATTCAGGCCAGGTTTATGGTCTAATTTAGTTAAACTACTTCATATAGTAATGGGTAGAAAATAGAGTTCAAGAACTCTGGGATGCCACCCTGCGTGAGGGGCACTATATAAATGCAAGTTGTTTCTGTAGAGTTGGAGTTTTTGAAGGATGATATCAATTGGACTGAAATGCCTTCTTCATGCACATCTCTCATGTGAATGACAGGATAGACTAGGAGACCATAGATCACTCTATGTACATTCTCTCAAAACTACAACAAACAAGCATAGGACCTGAGAAGGCGGAAGACTGTGATTTACTGTCTTGGCTCGGCCACTGTTACTCATTATGCCAATGTGCATACAAAGTACACAGCCATAGCACTTCAGAATTTGTGAAGCCCTCCCAAAATGAAAGGAGCTACATCAAATTTAAGGATCATGGAGAGTTTAATTGCTTTTGAGATGATATCCTAGTCAAAGGGGAGTGGAGTCAAGTGGGCTGATACCTGGCTTAGGCCAGGTCCACAGAACCGAGAATTGTTAATGATTAACTAACCTACCTGACTTGGTAGGTGGATCTTCGAGAGCCATATGTATCAATCACCAAAAGTTACACCTCTTCCCACATAGCACAATACTGCCGGCAAATGATTAAGAAGGTGGTCCCAGTTAGATGAGTAGTGGGAAGTTTACCAGTTTGCCATGGCTTCAGTCAGACGCCAAGTCCTAGATGAGAGTTAACTTTCTTCAGTTGAATGTCAACAAGACCGAGGCTCTCCTGATTGACTCCCGTCAGTGCCTCCTCACCTCAGGCGCTGACAGCATCACCATCTATGGTTGCACTCTCCACCTTGCTAAGCCAGTCCGGAACATTGGGATCTTGTTTGACCCTCAACTATCCTTTCTACCCCACATCTGCGCCATCTGCCTTCCCCCGTCTCCGTAACATCGCCCGGCTCTGACACTGTCTCACCACTGCAGGCCGCCAAAATCCTCATAAACGCCTTTATTACATCAAGGCTCGACTATGCAAACTCACTGCTTGTCGACCTCCCCAACTCCTCCCTCCACAGGCTGCAGATCATCCAGAACTCTGCACCCATGTCCCCTCCCGCACCAAGTTCACCCCCATCCTTGCCCGACTCCACAGGCTTCCCATCACACAGAGGATACAGTTCAAGATCCTGGTCCTCACCTTCAGAGGCCTCCATGGTCCTGCTCCCCGCTACCTTTCCGAACTCCTAACCCCCTACCACCCTGTTCGCTCCCTCCGCTCAGCAGGCTCTGGCCTGTTTCACGTCCCTCACCTTGCTCGCCCCACTATCAGCAGGTGGGCCTTCCCCCACTCTGCACCCACCCTCTGGAACTCCATCCCGCAAACCCTCCATTTCACCCCATCCCTCACCATCTTCGACAACCACCTCAATATCCTCTTCGAACGTGCTTTCGATCTCCCTGCTTCCCCTCCCCCACCCCGATCCTCAGCTCGGGTCCGTAACTTTGTCTGTTCAGCACCATGGGACGTCCTCCCGATGTGAAAGGTGCTATACAAATGTAACTTTTGTTGTTCAGTCAACATTTGCCTAAATTCTTCAGGCCCAAGGGGAACATGATTCCCTCAAGAAGTGCCCACTCCTCACTAGCAATTAGAAGGTTTACTTTTGAAGGGCTCTTGCACATCTACGGATTTATTTAACTGAATCCGGGCAAGTGTTCAGCACTTTAAGCAGTACTTGCAATATTCTGCTGCTCATTTTCTTTATAGTGTGTAACAAGCTATCTGTGTCTCAATTTAACTGAAATTAAATTATCTTTGATCAATAAAACTCTGTAAATCTCAATACTTTTACTTTAAAAGTACCTTAACTTTGGCACCAAATCACTCAACTTCATTTGATTAATGTCTTCTGTATCAGCTAAGAAATGCAGACTGATGTCAGTACTATAAATGAATCTCCCAGAATGTACGTGGATGCCTTAACCAGTTGGGCGAGGACAGGTGCATATAGATTTCAGCTGTTGCCTGAGCAACTATCAGCCAGGTCAAGCTTTCAGAATGATAAACTGCATCTTTTTTTTTATTTACAGAAAAAGGACTATTTTAAACTTGTACATCTAGATTAATGTCAGCGGAAACATTTTGCTATTTATGTAGGTAATTGGATGTGCTTTGGTGGCACTATTAAAGTTTTTGTACTAATACCTATTCTTAGCCTTTTTTAGGTGACTGTTGCGAGGGGTGTGAATTAAATTAAAAAAGTTATTGTGCACGGTTAAATTACTTTAGGGCTAAATGTATAACCTTTTGTGACAAGGCAGCATTTCCTGCTTGCAAGGTGACTCTAGAATTTCAGGATCAAGTTTCAACTGATCTTTGCTCTCAGGTGACTAAAGCTGCAGGTTTCACCACAGATGATTGAAAGGAAGGAGGATGCAAAAATGAAGCTCGGGAGATGTCTCTTCCTGTGACACTGGATTAACTGATAAATCAACTAAGCCATGTCTTAGGGCCCCAAGGTCTGAGGCGCCCCAAATGTGGATATGGGCAGGGGCGGACTGGCTAGTTGAGAAATCAGGAAATTTCCTGAGTGCTCCCTCGAATGGTTCCCGAAAGCCACTGCCAGCACCCGCCGCAATATCACTGGGCCCCCAGGAATCGACTGCACAGCCGAATGTGTGTAAAGATAAAACGGAGCTCTTGCACCCAATCCAGGCACAGATGTTGCTACTTTCCTCCTTGCGCAGGTGCACTCCCCACCTTGACTGGTCGCAGGGCGGGATAGCCAGGGAACCTGGACTAGAGGAAAGCGGTTGCTGCCAGGATGTAGTGAGTGCGCTTGCAATCCATTGCCATCTGCACGGCCAGCCATTCTCACCCTGAGGCTGGAGGTAGCTGCCGTAGGGCCAGGATTCGGATGATACAGATATCAAGGACGGGCTGGTGCTTTTTGGTGCTTTTTCCATGAAGGGCTCGGCCACAAACATGATCTATTTTAGGGCCCCAGATCGCTTAATCCAGTCCTGTGTTACATGAAAAGGGTATTTTATGACAGTATTGTGTGGATCCTTATCCTGTTGCTTTTTATTGATTAGCTGGAAGTTAATTGCTTCTTTTTGAAGAAACGTGCCATTTTTTTTTAAAACCTGGAATGTCAAAAAAAAATGAGCAATTGACCAAAGGAACACAAGTATCCACAATCAGATATCTTACTAAGACAACTGACTGTCTGTCTCATGTTCCATAGCATAGAACTCAGTAACATATCCAATGGAAAAGCACTGATGCATACATTGTACCAGTGTCATCATATCACAGTTTTTGGAAACATGATCTGTGCTTGTATTATTGCTAGAACCAGATGCAAAATGTGTGATGTAATCACCTAAGGATCCAAAATCTGTTATAGATTGAACTCATTTATTTTTATGTTCACGTTTTTCTTCCATGTCATACAGTTTCGATAGCGCAAAATGAAAGTATCAAGTGTACGATTTAATGTGAGGGCCTCTTAATTTAATAATTTAATAGAAATAATGACGACTTGCTGATCCAGTCAGTTGTAAAGGAAGTATTTTCGTGTGGTTCTGTTTTATGCTGTCTCACTCATATTTTGTTTTCATTCTTCCCAAGCTTCTCCTCATTGTATTAAGTGGCTTGAATGCTTTTTATAAATATCCTCCTATGCTCCACCAAGATTTCACTGCTTTCTACTTGCGTACTGGTACTGCCTTGTCTCTGTTTCCAAGGCTGGCAGATGCGATGTGTTCCCTTCTACCTCTATACGAGAGACTGTTGGGACATATAGATTAAGAATGTTCAATTCTGATCCAAACAAACTTCTGAGTTTTGAAAATGTACATGTGCTGCATTATTGCCTGTTGAAAATGATCCAATCATAGCTACAGCAGGCACCTGTGTCAGGTAATTGTGGTAAAACTGATTCAAATGAAGATGAAATAATTCAACAGCATAGCCATCTTTTAGCGATAGGTTAATTTTAAGTGAGTTGAAATAACGTTCGCAAGCCGAACAAAAATACTTCATTCAGATACACAGCGTTCAGTCAACATTGGTGGGGGCTCATGTGTGGAGTAAAACCCCTCCCCACATGGATTAGTTGGGCTGAATAGCCTGTTTCTGTGCCTTGTAACTCTGTACTATCTGAAAGAGAAATGTTGATTTGTGACATGTCATCAAAATAGACCATCTTGGCCTCATGAAGGGTTACACCTGAAATGTTAATTGATTTGTGCATTTCCAGTCCTGTCTATCTGGTTACACTTTTTATAACTACTGCCCTATTTTTGTGTCAGTCTGCCACCCAGTGGAGGTAATTGGTTACCATATTTACTGAATGTACATCTGTAACATTTTGTGTGTGTGTGAGTAATATTAATGGTCTTGCTGAAACAGCGTTTTTAAAAATGTACCAGATTTTGGTATTGTGAAGGTGGGTCATTGGCTGAATGAATGAACTAATCACTTAGAAAAATGTTTTCTTACAGTATACGTTTCTCCTATCCATTATTCTTTATTTAGGTGCGAAACCTGCGATTGGAGCAGGAGCAAGAGAAAACTAAAATACTTTCAGAAGCGCTACAGACACTGGCCTGTGAACATCATGAACTTGAACAGTCTTTAGTCAAAGGATCCCCGCCCCAAAGTTTGCTTAGTGATGATGAATTCTACGATGCTCTTTCGGGTGAGTAAAGCCACTGTGCTCCAAAACTGTAGAACCCTCTGTGTTAATCCTTCTGCCGAGTCCCCTCCTTGCCCATCTTCAGATCACGCCTGAAGACCTTCCTCTTCTCTTCAATAACCCCTCCCCCCAAACCCTGCCTGCTCTGCTCTCCAGCTCGGCTTCGCCAGTGTTAAGTGCTCAGAGATCCTACCGTCTGTGAAGGGCGCTACATAAATGCACGTTGTTGTTGTAATCGGAGATATCTGGCAGCCACTAACTTACCATTCCTGATAACTCGTCACTGAGCCCCTTTCCCTTGGAACGAAGAGTTATCAGGAGTTCATTGTGTATATGTGTATATATATATTTTCTTCCCTTAGTGATCGTCCTAGCTTACCAATCCTTTCCTTTTGTAAAAGCTTACTCTAGTTTGTGGGGGGTGGTAACTTGGAATTTGACAAAGTCAAAGATATTCGATTCAATTTAATTTTTTAAAATTCTATAAAGCATACTGTGCTTAAACGTTTTTGAACCTATATATTTCACTATCTTATTTGTTATTGTGATAATACAGTGCTACATACAATTGCTAACAGAAGCACTTTGAGATGTCTCAATGATGTGATAAGGCGCTATGTCAAATCCAAGGATGATTATTATGTTATAACAGGCAGATTTAGATTAATTCTGCTCTTTGTAACTTTTTGAGTGAATCCTTCAGCACTGGTTTTGAGCAGAGGTTTGCAAGCAAATATTGTTTATATTTGGGCAGTCACCAGATGGAGTCTGTAAACTCAATACGGTACTGTGATCAGGTTTCAGAATTTGTTGCACAGTGAATGGTGTCAGTTGTTACAATTGCAAGATCTTGTTCTGAAGAGTAGTGCATTAACATGGCTTGTGTTTGAATGCAGACTCTGACTCGGTGGACTCTTTGAGTGGATTTGAGACTGTAACAAGCCATTCAGCTGAGGACGAACCTGTCAACTGTAGCAATAACGAAAGGTCAAATATGTCTGAGCAGGCAAACCATGATAGCAAGCAGCTACAAGCTAATGGAATCAAAAAATACAGGTGAGTTGATGAGCCAAGCAACAGGGAGGGTTTCTCACCAAAAGTACTTGAGTCTTGAGAGCTATTTGGATTCAAGTTGCAGAAAAGTAATTTGGGATCGACAATATTCTGGTTTTAATTCTGCTTCAAATCAAGTGGGTAATTATTTATCTGAACTTTTGCAGCTTTTGCAAAACTCAGCTCCAGAAAGTCTTTAAAATTGTATGCAAGCATCTACTATTAAAATACTGCATTTGGATTAATTGGCAGAACTGCAAAACTGTTTCCAGAATATATTTTTTAAAAAAACCTTCTACACATTGATTTAATTTGTATTTTTTAAAATTGTAAACGTTTAACCAGTCGTACGTTGGTAAATTGAATGTTCAATGCACTGAATCAATGCATCATTAAATCATAGTTTTGTTTGTTCACAAAATACACAGTAATCATAATTTACAATATTTGTGAAGCGATTTGAGACGTTTCATCAAAGTCATAAGCAGCTATATCGAATGCAAGGATTATTACTATTATCATCAAATAGATGAGTTAATTCAGAATTAATTCTCTGATGTATTAAGCAAACCATGCAAGAAAAATGTTTAATGGAATAAAATGATGGACTGTGTTTTTTTAATCTCGTATCACATATGAATTTGATCGTAAAGTCTAAATTTTAATGAACTGTAATGAATACTTTGTTCTCCAGTGTCGTCAACAGTGTTCATTCTCCAAGTGATCTGATCACCTCACAAGCATTTGGTGCTGTGTAATCCTTGATTATAGTGTTAGTTTAATAGCTCTTGAACATAATTTGTTTTATTGCTGTAAACATTGGAATTGTTAAATGGAATAGACCTTTTTTTTACTCTATAAATGTTTCCTGATTGTACGTTGCTAAAAACCTGTTTCTAAATTAATGACATGCACTTACTGGTATACCTTGGGTTCAGAATTATAATAAAATATGTTTTCCTTGATTTTGCTGCTCTAACTGTGGAAAAAATGCTCTAACCCATTTTGGCTTTCATCATTTAACATATTGTAGGGTAGCACCATAAACTTACCAATCTATGGCAGAGAGCATGTCTGTATCTCTGGTTTTTTTGATAAATGTAATGGCTTTTGTCAGTTTACCCTTATAATGGAATATAATATTAATCCCAACTGGTTGGGAGAATGGATGGAACTGAACTCAACATTTGCAATTGGTTTAGTGGATAAATGGAGGAAGATTCTAACTTGGCATGATCTGAGATGGCCATCCAATACTTCTTGCGCAGGAGAAATCCGTACAGATATATAATTAATACGTTTGTGTGGTGAGGAGTAAAAGCATTACTTCCTTTCCTTCAGAGGGCCCAACTGGTCTGGATCACCACCAAAAGGAGCCAATATCTTTGGTATCTTGTTTGATTTCAGGGCTGCCCCTGTTGCTTATCTAGATCCTTTTGTAAAATTTAAATTCACTGCACAATCACCCAGCAGGTCACAGAAATGAGCCGAATTCTGTAACTGCAGCTAAGAAAGTTGATCCCTCCAAATATAAACTTCCTCAATGGTTTAGTTGCTGAAACAGGCTCTTAAATAACCTTATTAAAAATAACGATCTGTTACTTATTCTAAATTAAACAGTACTGCAATCTTGACAGTTGAGAACACAATTTAAAATGAGTAAAGCTAGTCTATCAGAAATCTCAATATGAACTGCATTGGACTGAAGTTCACTGCTAGTGTAGTAGCTTTACATTTGTGATGTGAGCCTGCTGAGACAGTTCGACCAGTAACTGAGGCCAATCCCCTTGTAGAAATGAAAAAATGCAGCGTGGATATACAGCCCTCAACTGCACATAGATTTCAGTGACTTTTACCTGGATGTACAGAGTTGGGGGTAAGATAGTTGAACACACTAGTATTTATTATGCAGTACTTGCTGATTTTAAAATTTCAGCTAAATTTGATTTTCTGACTTGTTACTGATACTGCTGGGCCACGTCTGCATTCTCATCTTACTGTTTAATATTGTATTGAGATTAAAGTGCAGTGCGGTCGGTCATGGGTGTTTACTGGATGAAAATGGGCTGCAAAATCTGGTTTGGTTCCTATATTAAAAAATTGAGCAAGAGACTATTTTTGAAGCCGTTTCTTCTTTTGAGTCCTGAAACACACAAGTTTTCGAAAATATTATTTAGCAGTCTACCATAATGCAAATGAGATTCAGATCATGTCAGCCGAGGTACTAGTGAAGGTGTCTTGGCCAAGGAAAGCAAAAATACACCAGAGTTCCCATTTCTTACCTCTCCAATAACCTGATCAACAATGCGTGTATGGATATTGGGCAAAACACGAGATCGGATTAGCTTGTGAAAAGTTTGCAATTTCACTGCACAATTGTGTTTGAACCATTGGGGCTGAGCCTTCAGCCACTAGATCACATGATTGGTTCAGATGAAGATAGCCCTTTAGCTCATTTTATCTCATCCTTGCACAATACGCCAATGTCCCATCACAGCATCAAGTTACCTCAACCTTCCTCTTCCAGTTGTTATCTGCCCTCTGGCTAAAGAAATTCTTCCTGGTTTCTGTTCTGAAATTGTCCTTTGCATCTCAAACTATGTTCAAGTTTGAGTTGCAAAGGACAATTTCCTAAACGCCTTACAATTCTTGTTTTTTCCACACTTTAATGCATCCTATGAATAACTGGCAGTATGTACAAGTGCAAGTTATGAATTGTATGCACAACAATTACGAAATACAAGGTACTCAACAACTGCCATTGCTGATGGAACCAGACCCAACATGAATCTTAGTTAACAAAGAAATAATTTGGCATTAAAAAGGCATTACAATTCCTTTGCTTTTACATAAAGTGGTACTACACAAGTTTGTTTTATTATCAAAAGTTGTTATGGAGTACAGTGTTTCAAAATACTTTGAAACAAACCATTGGTCATAAAACAATTAATTGTTGGAATTGCTGATCTTTAGATGAGACATTAAACTGTCGTCTGTCTGCCTGTTCAGGTGGACTTTAAAGAACTCATTACACTGCTCGATTTGAACAGAGAAGGGAGTTTCTCTGCATGTTCTGGCCAATAACTACAATTAGCAAATTGCAGCAGAAATTCATAAATACAATCCCCCCAGATAAAATTAGCATTCACTTCATGGCTGTTTGTGGGAAAATTATCTACAGCGTTCGTCTGCAAAAATATTCTACATTTTACATTACAGTAATTCCTGTGAAGAGCTTTGAGGTATCTCAATGATTCATTGTGATTTGGGAGCGGACATTATTGAAGTTTCAAATAAACGTGTAAAGTAGAGCACTATTATAACAAGATTACATTTGTATAGCGCCTTTCACGTCGGGAGGACGTCCTAAGGCAATTTCCCAGCTGCAAACTTCTCAAACCAAAAATCCTAGATCCGAAATATTAATGTAACAAATCTGATTTGAGAACATCACATGATTTGAGAATTAGATTCCAGTGAGTTGCCTCGAGTGTATTGTTTGTAGGATGTTGCTTACATGGTTATTATTAGTGGTTGGGATAAATTCTCAACCCGTCCTTAACTAGGTAGATAGCTTGTTTCACTTTATGCTATATTTCACTTTCTGTGAGTTGCACATGGGCAAAGTGGGTCCATTTTGTTTGATTGATTTAAAAAAATAGGCTTTGTTTACTCATTAAAATTAAAGATACACAGTGCATCAAGTGGTGGTGATGTGATGACCTGGAAGTTTTTTCTAAAAAAAAGCACAGAAGCTAAAAATGGCCAACTTTTGATTCACAGGAACTTGGGAAGCAGGAAGTGAGTAGGCTAGGTGCACGTACACAAAATAAATGTAGTCCAGCGTGCAGCCGTATTATAACCAAATCCTCTAAAGTAATTTAAGTCTTCATGCAGAAACTCAAAAATATCCGTTAAATATTACTTGCAATTGATCGTGTAATATTGAAAAGTCCCAAACTACGTCACACACAGAGGACTTTTAATTTCCTATAACTGCATAACATTTTTATTGTGTTTTTTGCAGCTTCAGCTCTGAAATTTGCAGCCAGATCATTTCAAATCATGGGTTGATAATGTCCAAAAAAAGGGCAATAAATTGAACAAAATATGAGAGTTGTTTCTTTTGCTTTCTAACTTCTTTGACCATTGTTGACTCTTATTACGCGATACAATTTATACTTGTATTGCACCTTTCGCATCGGGGGACATCCTAAAGTGTTTGACAGTTCTAGCTGTGCCCTAGAGCTGAGAGTGGCAGCTGGCGTGGGGGGGAGGAGAGGAAAGATGACCGAAAACACAGGCAATTTGATTCTCAATTTCCCAGCTGCACATTTCTCAAACCAAAAGTCCTAGATCCGAAATATTAATGTAACAAATCTGATTTGAGAGCATCACATGATTTGAGAATTAGATTCCAGTGAGTTGCCTCAAGTGTATTGTTTGTAGGATGTTGCTGACATGGATTTACTCATATATTTTCCCACATAAAACGAATGGCAATGTGGTGAATGGCTAATTTTACCTTTTTTGGTGGGTGTTAATTTTCGATGAGGAATCTTGGCCAGAATATTGGAAGAATTCTATGTCCTTAGTTCCTTGAGATCTGAACCACCTAAACAAGGTGGATACCCAGCCCTGTTCAAGAATTCAGACACTAGGTAACACCTTCCAGCAACGGTCATCTCAAGCATCAGCGTTTCCGATTCAGTTACTTGACAGACATCTGCCTTCATTGGGCTTGTCCTGCTTATGTTAAAGAATTTTTCCAGGCAAACTGATCAATTTGATTGATTGATCACCACATGGTCACCTAGCTCCACTTAACTGTAACCAATTGAGAATTTTTGGCACAGTGTCATGGTAAAAATGGAAATCGGATCGCTCTGGAACATCAGTAATTTGAAACACTGTTGAAGAATGATTTGAAAAAGAACTTGAAACCAAAGTGTATTGTCCAATGCTAAAAATGCTATAAATAATATAGATGATAAGAATTCTTGTGTATTTGCAGGACAATTCTCCTGGGGATTTTCTGTTTAGTATTCGTGGAATTCAGTTGTGTATATTGTGCATATAAGGTAATACAATTAATGACAAGCTAGAATTTTATTTTAACATGCACATTAAATTTGCATTAACGTAGTAGCAAAGTTTGCTGTATATATGTGTACAATTAGAGTTTAAACATTTAAAACATTTGACCTCAATACAATGCATTTCTACATTTAAAAATATTGCTAGATTGAACTTGTATTAGTTCACATACGTTAGTACCTTGTCATAATCTAGATTTTGCGTACCTTGTCTGTTTCCATATCCCCGCAATTTGTTTGATTTAGTCAGAATCCAGGTCATTTATGCAAACTATGGGTACTAGTCCAGACTTCGCAAGCGTTCCCTCAACACCTCCTCTCATTTCAATGTTTCCCTCATGACTGCCATCTGCTTCCTTCCGTTCAACCAAGTCCAAGTTTTACCCTTGATACAAGCTGATATTTTGTAAACTAGTCTCTGGTGTGGTGATTAGGCCTTTGGAAGCTTGTGTGTACTGTGTCATGTTCATTAGACAAATGTGGCAGCTCATCTGCATTTGTAATGGCCCACCACCTTAATTAGATGAATGACCATTTTTTTAAAAAAATCTAAGTTAGTTAGGGAGAAATGTTTGTAAGAACACTGGAAAATCAGAATAGGCAGAGGTGTGACCTCAGTTTGACATTCCATCGAAAGGCAATGCCTGCAACATTGACCCCCCATACAAATTTATTCTATTTGTCTACACGTAAGGGTTCAAGCCTTGCGTCCGGACTTGGAGCGCGTAGTTGAGGCTGACATTCAAAGGCAATACTACATTGTTGAAGTAGAGTACAAGAGTAGAGTACAAGAATCAGGAGGTTATGATTAACCTATATAAAACACTGGATAGGCCTCAGTTAGAATACTGCACCCAGTTCTGGGCACCACACTATAGGAAGGATGTTAAGGCATTGGAAAGGGTGCAGAGGAGATTTACGAGGATGGTACCAGGAATGAGGGACCTTGATTATGAGGAAAGGCTGGAGAGGCCGGGATTATTCTCATTGGAGCAGAGAAGGTAACGAGGAGACCTAATAGAGGTTTTCAAAATCATGAGGGGAATTGATAAGTTGGAAAGGGAAAAACTGTTTCCAATGGTGGGTGTGTCAGTGACTCGAGGTCACAAATTCAAAATAGTATCTAAAAGAAGCAGAGGGGAGAAGAATTTTTTTCACGCCGCGAGTTGTTCGAATCTGGAACGCATTGCCCATGTCCTGACCCAACTGTCCAGCACCTTGGGACGTCCTCCCGACGTGAAAGGCGCTCGAAAATGGAATCTTGTTGTTGTTGTTGAAAGGGTGGTCGAGGCCAATTCGATAACTATTTTTAAAAACGCGCTGGATGGGTATTTGAGGAGGACGGGTTTGTAGGATTATGGGGAAAGGGCTGGGGAGTGGGATTGACATTATTTGCTCTATTCAAAGAGCCGGCACAAACTCGATGGGCCGAATGGCCTCTTTTTGTGCTGTACAATTCTATGATTCTATGAAATGGCGTTCTTCAGATGAAACGTTAAACAGTTCTATTTATTCAGGTGGACATTAAAGATCCCATGACACTTGTCGAAGAGAAGGGAGTTTTTTTCCATTATCCTGGCCAATAATCCCCCAAATAAAATTGCTTCTTCACCTTTTTATGCCTTTTGTGGAATATTGTTGTCTGCAGATTGGCAGCCCGCAGTCAAATGCACTGTAACTATAAATTCCAATAATTCCTGTGAAGTGCTCAGAGACTTTTTCTGATGTGAAAGGTGCTACAAATCCAAAGATTATTGCTTGAAACAAAGGAACACCAAGGGGTATAGATACCTCACAGGAAAGTGATCAGATTAGCTGGCTCCTGTGGAAGAAAACCACTAGCACAGACTCTGGGTCAAATAGCTTGTTTCTGTGATCTTTGTTGTAATCTGTCATACTCGTAATTTATCAATAAGAAGTAATCTCAACCACATGCATTTTCACTTAATACATAATTCTGCACGGAATCAATTTGTCATAGTGTAACTATAAATATTCTGTAACAAGATCCTTCAGCTCATTTGATCTCATCTTCCAGAACTCCAACTCTACCCTCTTCCAATTACGGCTTCAGCTGTTTCTTGAACAAGTCCAGTGTCTTGTACACTCAACCACCTTTCCTAGTAACCTCTTCTAGCTCTTTACTTTCCGGGAAAAGAAACATTTTCTGGTGTCTATACTGACTGCACTGAAAGCTGTCCTTTCTTGGCATATCTCAAGGTATTATTCCAGATTTACTTTATTCCATTAAGCATATATCAGGACAATTAAAACCCTTCAAGAAATTTGATTGACAAGGCTCGTCATGCCTTATACAGTCTTGTCACTACATTGAACTTCAATCGTTATGCCCCCAACCTCAGGAATTCTGCCTCTATCCCTCCACCTCGCCTGCGCTCTCTATCTACAAATCCCACCTAAAAATGTACTTTTGCGACTGTGCCTATAGTCACCACCTGCCGCCCCGCTCAGTGAACCCCACTGCTATGTTGCACTCTGAGATGTTATCCTAAATGAAGGGCATAGTGTAAATATAACTTGTTCTTTTGAGGCTGAAGAGATCTAGTTTGTTTTTCTCATAGCCCGTCTTCTAAGACTGGGGCTGTTTTTGGTGGGGATACACTTGACCCATAATAACTTGAACTCCAACATGGTCTACTTGAATATTGTAACCATATAGAATCGTAGAAACTATGGATTTGAAGGAGACCGTGCCACCAATCATTCATTGTCTGTAAGTCCAGCGATTAGGACGTCCTCCCCCACACTCTGGAACTCCATCCCACGGTCCCTTCGCCTCGCTTCCTCCCTCGCCTCCTTCAAGGCCAGTCTCAAGGCCCTTCTTCTCGTCGACCGTGCCTTTGGTCTCCCTCCCATCTCTCTGCCTTCCCTCACCCCTACACCACCCCTCCCCCATGCTCGGGCGCCGATACCTGACTGTTCAGCACTTTGGGACGTTCTCCCGACGTGAAAGGCGCTCTATAAATGTAACTGTTGTTGTTAAAGGCGCTTTAGAAATGTAATATTTTGTTGTATACCACACAATGTTTCAGATTTCAATACTTTCACAAGGTCTGTTAGAGAAAAATAAAAGCATGTGGTGAAGTCTTTGTATCATATCAAAAATGCTTCTGACTAACTAATGCACTTCATAATCTGTTGAAATACAATAGGTGCAGCTACTAATTCTCAATAAAATGCCAATGTTTAATATCATTAAGCATGACATATTGTAGAATTATAGTGTGCCATCCAGCACGATTACAGTTCCAAGATGGATTAAATGTCTGCAGTGAGTGCAATCATGAATATTCAGGGAGATGCTTTTGAAAAGAAGGCCACCTTATACATTGGCCATCCAAACTATAACAGTTCACATTTATATGGTTCCTTTAACGTCCAGAGAATGTGACATCTCATATCAAAGCACTTTACACAACTAGCTGGGAGCCCGAATAAAGAAACAAACTTCAGTATGTTTAAAAGCTTGATACATTGTGATGTATAAAGATTTTCTTTGCTTTTGTTTATTTTAGATCAAGCTTGCCAGCTCCCATGTTTTCAAGAAATGATTTTAGTATTTGGAGCATCCTGCGAAAGTGCATTGGAATGGTGGGTAATTGTGTTCTTCTTGTAATTGTATACGCCTTAAATATAAAAAATTAAAAGTTACAAATGGTAACTCTTAAATGAACAATATTTCTTAAATGAGCAGGTTTTCCTCTAAATGTCCGCTATGTTATTTAGGAAATTTTATGGGCATAATAATAATAATAATCCTTGCATTTGATATAGCGCTTTTCACGTCGGGAGGACGTCCCAAAGCGCTTCGCAGGACACACTGTAAAGTGAATTGACTGTATATTTGTGGGCGAACGCGGCAGCCAATTGCGCACAGCAATGTCCCACAAACAGTCGTGGATTGAAAATGACCAATTTATTATTGTTTTTGGTTTTGATGGGATTATTATTAGACGTGTGGAGTAAGGAAACTTTCCCAAGGTTTCGTCCTGCCTGGAATTGAACTCAGGTCTCTCGCTTGCAAAGCGAGTGCTCTAACCACTGAGCTACTGGACTCCACAAAGGAATATAGGAATATAGAGGACTGAAAAAGACCACCGTGGTCTCTCTGGCTGGTTCTCAATCTTTGGAAAAAATGCCCGACACTGTAGCGACTCAATCTTATCTCCTTGTCTGTTTTATATGAGACATCATTCTGAGCAACACAATAACTAGGGCCTGGGATTCTTACAATTCAGTTCCTGTTCACCCTGCAAGCCAAGAAGATAACGGTGTTCTTGGCTGGGTAGATGTTAGGAAATAGCAAACTGATTTAGCCGGTTACTTTTCAGCAGAAACCTCAGTCTTTTGGCTTCCCCAAAACTTCGCTCCTGCTGATTTGTACCTAAACTCTCCAGGATTAGATGAAGGGGGATTATGCACTGCATACTAGTTAAATCTGTGTGTGTAACTCTTAATAACTTAATTTGGATACTCTTAAAAAAAAACATATGGTACCTGCCTATTATTGTATGTCGCTGCTTCTGGTCACCAGCTGCTTTTGCTGGGGGTGTGGTTGCACAGGTTGCTCTCTGATATCCCACCTGAATGGCAGTTGTTCATGTGAGAGCCTTTGGCAATGACTACAGTGGGCTTCACACGCCTGCCATACATGGAATGACAGTGAAAGGTGCTTTTAGCCTACCCTATACAAACCCTATACAGCCTGTCTTAACCTTCAGCTCTGGCTAATATCAGCAAACACATCACAGGATTCAATCCAGCAGGCTGCCGGTGCATAAACTGCAGCTCTATTCCAAACACCATTTGGTTTGGATACTCTTAAGCATGATTTCCACATGTGCCAGATGCTCAGTTGACCAAAAAGACTCACAGTTGTAAGATTTTTTTCCTCCCTTCTCATCAATTAGCAGGGCACATTCACATTTGTGTAAGTTCACATTGACTGGGTTGATGAGCATATCTGAAAGAATCATCAAGCTTGTACTCTTTGTTTCTACAGCACCCGAATCACAAGCCTGCACCAAGGTTACTATATGACTTCAAGGTGTTCTTGTTGGACTCTACTAATACTTCCAGAACTGAAGCAATATTGTTTCCAGCAGTAGAGCAGGCAGACTGCATTGTATTTCCTGACCCTCAATGGGTTGGAGATTGTTTTTAAAATGCATGGATTCCTGGTCTCAGAATCCTGTAAATATCCACTTTACTACAGTGTTTGGACTTAGTCACTGCACTGTGCCCACTAAATTATTTTGATTGCTTTATTGTTTATATGGGATACGAGTGTGCTGTTTTATCATACAAGTAACGACTCTTGAATTATTTTTCAGGAGCTATCCAAGATTGCTATGCCGGTTATATTTAATGAGCCACTTAGCTTTCTACAGCGACTTACAGAATACATGGAGCACACATACCTCATCCACAAAGCTAGTACTTCCTCCGATTCAATTGAGCGAATGAAGGTATAGTATGATCATTGCTGACAGAATTGTTATGCATTACAGTGGCGCTTCATTATAATGCAGTCGTTGAGATCTATAAACTGTAAAACAAGACTGCGCTAACCTATTTCACAGCACGTCTGCGCTTTCAGCCACTGCACTCACATATTACTTAGACCTAGGAGCTCATATCCTGATTTAAAGATGGTCAAACAATCTCTAATTTCCTTGCTAAGTATTCACTGTTTTGAGATTTTCTTTTATGTGAAGATTTGCTAGTTGTTGCTTAAAGTTACTATTGGGTTACTTGTCTTTAAATGTAAGCAATTAGACTTTATTTCTCAAGGAACCCAGTGAATTAACTTGCACACTAATGCATTACGAACAACCCTGCAGCTCAAAAAAAGATGCCTTCTGAACGACAAGCTTTTACAATGGTTCTTATTCATAGGAGTTGAGTTTGTTTCAGCGCCTTGGGACGTCCTCCCGATGTGAAAGGCGCTCTATAAATGGAATCTTGTTGTTTCGAAATAATCGTGTTTTGGTTTATGTACTTAAAAACAGAGTGTAGCGGCATTTGCTGTTTCAGCTGTTGCCTCGCAGTGGGAAAGAACAGGGAAGCCATTTAACCCGCTCCTTGGAGAAACATATGAGCTTGTTAGGTAAGAAATTATTTCAATCTTCTGAATAGATCCACATAGACGCATTGTTTAATGAACCAATTAAAATTCACTGCCTTAGTAGACAGTGTTTTTATGGTGATATATATTTATGTTGTCACTGTACAAGAACAACTTATTCTATTATTTAGTTGGATGGCTTTTCTTTCATTTATCAGATCCTGTTCATCACTTTCACTTGGATTTGTGGGATGGGGAAGAAGGGCTGTTAATTTCCAACGTGGCTGGAAGTGAGAATGGTTATTATTGACACCCTCCCTCTGTCAGTTAACAGATATTGCCTCAAAAATTAGAACATATTTTCAGTTTGTGACCAGTTATAACAAGATTTGATCCACTTCAAAGTTGATTTGATGCACTCGTTTGATTACAACCTGTGGAACTCTCTTTCCCTTCGCAACTGCAATGAACATGAGGAATGTAACTAACTATCATATTTCTCTTGCTTCGCATTCTTGGTGCGGTGCAGTGCAGCTAATAGAATTAATTTGTGTTCTGCCAATCTGAGGAACAGCATGTTAGTCCAATATGTTTGCTCAAAACACCTTATAGTTGAAAATAAAAGAGTGGGGAGTTTAAGAAGCTACAGTTACATTCTGAAGTGGTTGCTTTGGTACCAGTTACTGAATTATTAAAAATTGAGGCATTGAATGACCTGCTTATTTATAGGGAGGATATGGGATTCAGACTTGTCTCTGAACAAGTTAGCCACCACCCTCCGATCAGTGCATTCCACGCTGAAGGACTCAAAGAAGACTTTGTTTTCCATGGATCCATTTATCCCAAACTCAAATTCTGGGGGAAAAGTGTGGAAGCGGAACCAAAAGGAATCATAACTCTGGAACTTATCAAGTAAGTGTGAAAACAGCTTCAGACGGCCATGGATTTCAGAGTGCAGTTTTGTTCACAGTCTTGAGAGAGGACATCTCATTGGGGATATTATAGAGGTGTATAACATTTTAAATGATGGTTGAAAAAGTAAACCCAGAAAAATATTTTTGGAATCATCAAGACAGTGGCACAAGAAAACGTAGGTTTAGCGTTGTAAGGGTAATTTGAAGACAGATTCCATGGAGTTTTTCTTTACGCAGAAGGTAATCAATGACTAAAAAGGCATTAGGGCATTTTAAAAACAACTTGATGCATTGATGGGGGACGGTAGGATACATGTTCTAGTGGGATGAAATCGCAAGGGGCCAAAAGGCCTTCATCCAGAGCAATTTTTTGTGATTAGCTGCAGTGAAACCATTAAAGTCTAGTTATTGCACCAGACAGATTTCCCTTGTTTTTGGTCACCATTTGTAAAAGGTGAAAGAAAATTGGTGAGCAATGGTTTTAAAACCAACGACTATTAGATATTTGCCATGATATAGTATGTTAAAATCATCAATAACAAATTATGTTTATACAACGCCTTTCATGTCAGGCGGAAGTCCCAAAACCCTGGACAATCAGGGATTTGGACCCGAGTTGAGGGCTGGGATCAGCAGGGTTGGAGGGGGTGAGGCAAAGGGTCTGTGGAATAGTTACAAAGGGTAGGGGCAGAGGCTGAAGGCCTGACCACTGATTGTAGAAGTAAAGAACAATGAGTGCCAAGTGGTGGTTTCAAGGCAGTGATTCAAGGTATTTACACAAAATTATAATCAGGTAGACTCGAGCAGGTTACAATTACAACTACTATCCCTGAAACCAATATATATTCGCCCACAAAATATACAGTCAATTTACTTCATAATATATTCTGTGATGCATTTTGAGATGTTTCAAAGACGTGATGAGGTGCTATATCAAATGCAAGGATAATTATTATTATTTATAATGCGTACCTGTGAAAATAATCTGAAGGCAGTTTCTACTCTTATGTTTATTCTGATAACGAGTGGTTTCACGTAGTTAATGCCTGATTACATTCACACTGGGAAGGAAACCACGGAGGGAGTGCTACTTGTTAAAATCATTCCCCCGAACTGTACTTAGAATATGTAACACTTTACTGCAGATTAATATTAATTTTGTTTATTTTACTTGCAGGCACAACGAAGCTTATACTTGGACAAATCCAACTTGCTGTGTACATAACATCATAGTTGGCAAGCTTTGGATTGAGCAATATGGAAATGTTGAAATAACTAATCACAAGTAAGGAGTACGCAACACTTAGATGGTTCTTATTTATTTTATGGATTCAGTAAATCTTAAATAAACTCTTCTATCCACAGAACTGGAGAGAAATGCATTCTGAACTTTAAGCCATGTGGCCTTTTTGGTAAAGAGCTACACAAAGTTGAAGGTTATATTCAGGACAAAAGGCAAGTTTCCTTACTCCACACGCCTCTGTTTATCTAACAGTAAGTAGGAACCCGATTGTTTGGCGATTCACTTTCCGGGAGCTATAATCCCTTCCTAAATAAATAATAATAATTTGGTTACTCAATCTACATTGTTGTGCGCAATTGTCTACAACATTTTGCCCACAAAATATATATTCAATTCACTTTACAGTATATTCTGTGAAGCACTTTGATACGTCTCAATGACGTGATAAGGCGCTATATCAAATACAAGGATTTTTGTTAACATTATAAGTTACTGTCCTGTTATTTATCGCTAATCCACCTTGCCAAAAAAAGTAGCATATCCAATATTTAAACTTCTTTGACTGCGTTCAGAAATTCCTCTTGCTGCTAGTGAGCGAATTTTAGCTCATTAGGTCAGCAAAAGCCAAGCACCAGTCATTGATCAATATTAANTTTTTTTATTTGTTTGTGGCAGTAAGAAGAAGATTTGTGCAATATATGGGAAATGGACAGAGTGTCTGTGGGCGGTCGATCCGAATACATTTGACGCTTACAAAAAAAATGACAAGAAAAATACAGAAGAAAAGAAACCGAACAAAACGGTATTGATAAAATTGATAGTAAATGGTTTAAAAAAATTTAATAAGTCTTAAAATGGACAGATATCTCTCTTTTACTAGTCCTTTACCTTTACCCATAGTGTGTGAGGCATAAGATTTCATCAGAAATGATTACTTGCTGACTTAACTTGATTATTGATTTATTTATATAATGTCATCATTAATATCATAAATAAATAAGCTTGATAAATTAAAACTTTTAATTTAATCATGTGTATTTCATGGATTTTTCAGATTTTTTTTCTCCATAAGGTTTATTTAGGAGTCCTGTAGCTCAATTGTTAGAGCGCTCACCTCACAAATGAGAGACCTGGGTTCGATTCCCGGCAGGGTGATACCTTGGGCAAGTTTCCTTACTCCACACGCCTAATAATAATCCCTCAAGATAAAAAACAATAATAATTCGGTCACTTCTATCCACGACTGTTTGTGAGACACTGCTGTGCGCAATTGGCTGCCATGTTTCGCCCACAAAAAATGCAGTCAATTCACTTTACAGTATATTCTGTGAAGTGCTTTGAGACGGCTGGAAGTTGTGAAAAGGGCTATCTCAAATTCAAAGATTATTATTATTGATCAAATGTTACAGTTTTTCTTCGGTGTACTAATGCAAAACATTTTACTACATGGAAATCCCAGACAGCGGCTTCAGAGAAAGAGAAAGAATCTGATGATGTTCCAATGCCAGATAGCTCCGAAAGTGTACAGGTTATACCAGGAAGTCATCTGCTGTGGCGGATAGAACCTAGACCTTCAAACTCTGTGCAGGTTAGTCTCAAGAACAACAACAAATTATGTATAGCGCAGGGAGGGTATGGGTAGAAGGGTGATCAAAGGCACGATCGAAGAGGAAGGTCTTGAGACTGGGCATGAAGGAGGTGAGGGAGGGAGCAAGGCGAAAGGACTGTGGAATAGAGTTCCAAAGGATGGTAGCGGAGAGGTTGAAGGGAGAGTCTATTAAGTTCCTTAGATATGATTGGGGAATTCCATTTCTTTTCTAAGTAAAATTATTTGTTTTGGAATGTATATGAGTACTACCTTTACAAAACACTAGGCAGTAGCTTGAATTATGCACCTGTTGAACTCAAAACTTTCTCCTTCTTATTTCCACAAATTCCCCACTAATTTGGTAGATATAATTGCATTAATGTTTTTTTTTGTCCTGCAGCATTTAACTTTTGTATTAAAACAGAACAATTATTTTTGAACTGTTTTGTTTCAGATGTACAATTTTACCAACTTTGCCATGTCACTGAATGAGTTTGATAAGGCAATGGAGAGTGTTATCCCTCCCACTGACTGTCGATTACGACCTGACATTAAAGCAATGGAGAATGGAGACATAGGTATGGCTGAAACCTTCATAAAATTATACAATACTTAGGTGAGGTTAAGGAGAATGTTTTGTTATATCTTCTAGTGTTTTGGTCATCATGCCCATTCTATCAGTTCAGTGGATAGAAATGGAAAGAGAGTTTTGTTGCATTTAATGTGAATTTCTTTGGTTTTACTGATGAGATTCAAATTTAACAATCAACTTCTTGAAAGCTCTGTTTGATTGAAACATAAGGAAAATGTAAACATGAGGAAAATCTGCGATATTGTCTAGTGTTCCACAGGTTAATCATAATACGGCAGAATAGTGCTCGTATATATAGGGTGACCAAAAAATCATGATACCATTACATTGTCTAGAAAAGTTAAATAAATATTTTGTTTTAGATAATAGGGTAGCTTCACGACTTTTTGGTCACCCTGTATATGCAACGGTTAACCACATATTCCCTTATGTGGATTGGGGCTCAAATTCAGTAGTAATCAGCTGCAATATTGATGAAAATATTTAGTTAAACATTTAACAAAATTCACTATCACTTGAGCAATGTGAGGGGCAGAGATCTTAACAAGGCAAGTGCATGGATAGTGGGACGCAGACACAAACAGGTGTGTAGTTAGAGAGAGAGAGAGATGCTTGCTTGTATCGACCTCATATCCATATTGTTTTTGCATCCACATTGGGGTCAGTTGAATTTATTGGGCTGTCTACCATAATGGGCATTTTGGTTACATACAGCAAATTAATCAAAATCTACACTTCACTGCGGTCTTCAGTTGTTTTTCTGACATTCTCAGCAATTCTACTGCTCTAAAAATGCAATAACTTTCCTTAAAAGCTTCCCACATGAATGTTCTAAGTGACTGTTTAGGGCTAATTTTGGAATGTAAATCAATAAAATATTTCACATTTTGATTCTATAAAATACGTATCAAATATCTTTAAACTGCAGGAAGGTTTTTTTTCCATGTAACTTATGAATGATTTATTTTCTTTACGCTAACTTTGTACATAATGACTGTGAATCAACAAATGACTTTTATATGGAAGTCCTGACAAGTATCCAGAGGAAAAGTGGCCCTGATATTTCTTTAAAGTCTAGGATCAGTTAAGCAGCAATTAGCTCATAGAGAAGCAAGAAATACTCAGTTTTCTGCACAACTTCCATTTAAAAGATTTTCAGACTTTGGAGAAGGAATTTGTCAGCGTCTCTCCTGAAACACAATGCTTTCCTAAAGAACCTGCAAGGATTTCAGGCTCTATGCAGTCTGTGTCTACATCTCTGAGCATTGTAGTCTAACCAAATCATCTGGCCACAATTATTGGAAATACTATGTGAATTGCTATTTATGATTGCAGTGTCGGTTGGGCAGATTATTTTGCCAGCTTCTTTGCCTTGGTATTATTACCAGTTCTTCTGGCAAAACTCAAGTCAGTGATGTGGTAGCTAAAGCATTCGCCAGTCAGCCACACAAGCTACATATTTAGACTTGGAAATCTTTATGGCGTCTTGCCCATCTCTGGTTCCTGGCAGAAAAGGAAAGAATGGTTGAAACAATAACCAATGAATTATGGTGATTCCTATAGATGATACTCCCCTTATTTGTTGCATTTCTAAATGTCTTTTTTTCCTTTCATGCACTTGTCACATTCTTGGAGCACTCATAATCACTCCACCTCATGATCTGTGTACTTCAGGATAGATTCATTTTTGAACATGAACCATCCACATCTCCTGAAGACTATAGTGGTTATTTGCCTGTAAAAGTGTAAAGCAAGGGACCCATGTATGCTAATTGCAAAATTAATAAACTTTTTTACTACCTCCTTAATGGGAAATCCTACTTTAAAACCACAGTTTAAAAAAAACAATTTTACAGATCAAAATATTTTAGACTTCAGATTTCTTGTCAAGGGCACAGATAATCACTTTTTTAGCCATTTTGTGAAGACCTATGATTGTAATTTCAACTTCTTTCTCTTTTTTGTGCACTTAATGCAAAATGAAAAGCCCACAGTGCTGCTTTGGTAAAGAGTTTCAGAATTCTGTTAAGTATTATGTATTTGTATACAGAGCTCTATTGATCTAAGAGATATATCGGGGACATACTTCAATTACTGGGAGACGACCAACAAGGTGTTTATAGGACCACGTGAAAGCAAGTGAATGGATGTTTCCCATATGAAAAAAGTATATCAGATTTACCTTGCTGATTGGGTTGAATAGGTTTCCTTTCTAATTCTCTGTTTAGCATGGTTTTATCAAGGCGCTGCACAAAACTTTTTTTTGATCTGTTATGATAGCTGCTTGCAGCTTTAAGATGAACCATTCCACCATTGGGAGTCTACACGCTCATTCATCCCTTCATACAGATCGTGTACTTCACAGCAGTTGGATGCTCAGTTGCGAATTATGACAGTGTTAGCTTGGCAAATTATTGTCGGCTGCTTGACTTTGACATTATTACCAACTATTCTGGCAAAACTTAAGTCAGTGTGGTCAGGGATGGAAAACTAGTAGGCAAAACATCAGCCAGTCAAACACACCAAGCTACTCTTTCAGTTCATCCAACATTGCTGATTTGTTTCCTCCATGCAATCTGACTCCACTGGTCTCACCATTGATTTCAGCCAGAGCAGGTGGGTAAGGAAGGATCTCATATACCAGATGCTGTATGGCTTCAGCTCCTCCTCCTCCCCTCTGGGTTTTTCTGGTCAGAAGTCCTGTTTCAGTATAGCTACTTCATTGGTAAGATTGTCTTTTGCTTTAGATACTGTACTTGACCTTTATTATTATGCATGATAGCAAAAGTTTTCATTTGAAATGTTTTGTAGTTTGATGTGCACCTAATAAATAATTGGAAAGTGCTCTCTGTTTTTGCACCAAAAAGACTTGAAAAGTCCATCCTCTGAATCATTTTCACCAGTTGCCTTTTTGTTTGTTTTTGGGTCAGCCAGGTGTCTGACATATGCAGAATCCGATCACCACGCTAAAAAGAATCCAAACCAGGCTGATTCCCACATATTTAGGCCATACACATGGAGATTTTCCTTTGCCTTCTTTGTCACTCTCTCCCTGGAGGGATGCACTTTTACCTACTTCCAGAGAGTATTAAGCCACAGGTTGACGAGCCATGGTGTGTGCGTTGGGGTAACTGCTGGAATCGAACCAGCTAACACTGCATTGGAATCTCTGACTTGCAAGCTTTCCCACTGCTTGTCCAACTAGGACTACCCTAGCCATTAGAGCTTTGACTTTCAGGGTTAACAGGAGCTGAAAGGGAAGAGTCCCTGCTCTTCCAGTGACTGGTCTGTCCTTCCAAGTCCTGCCAATGAGCCAGGCTGGCTGGTCTGTCACCAGCCGGGTCCTACCTCAGGAACTAGATGACTGAAACCAAGCGGATTGGCTCAACTTGTTGTCTTTGCTGATAGTGGGATTAATAGCACCTTTAGTCACATTAATGATACTGTTGAGTTGCTTCCTCTATCCATATCTACTCTAAATAGTATCATTAATGTGACTGAAGAATTTGACATCAGATGAAACAATTGGGGAAAAAGGAAAGAAATAAGTTCTCTTGGGCTAATTTCATTATTGTGCGCAGTGTATCCTGATTTTTCACCTCTTTCCATGGCTTCAAAGTGCTAACTATATTTGATTTGTCACCTTGACAATCTTCACGTCAAGGCTTGATTACGGGAGCTCCCTCCTCATCAGCCTTCCCAACTCTTCTCTTCACAGGCTGCAGATCATTGAAAACTCTGCAGCTTGTGTACTCTCACGCACCAGGCTCCGTGACCCCATCACTCCCACCCTCACCCGACTCTGCTGACTCCCCAACCCCCAAGAGAATCGAGTTTAAGATCCTTGTCCTCACCTTTAAGGCCATCCATGGCCTTGCCCCCTCCTACCTCTCTGACCTGCTGAGTTCCTACCAACCTGCCCGCTCCCTCTGTTCATCAGGCTCCGGCCTGCTCCATGTCTCCCGCCCGACCCATCCTACCATCGGTGGCCGGGCTTTCAGCCTCTCTGCTCCCACGCTCTGGAACTCCATCCCACGGTCCCTTCACCTCACTTCCTCCCTCGCCTCCTTCAAGGCTGGTTTCAAGACCCTGCTCTTCGACCGTGCCTTTGGTCTCCCTCCCACCTCTCTGCCTTCCCTCACCCCTACACCATCCCTCCCCCATGCTCGGGCCCCGACACCTGACTGTTCAGCGCTTTGAGACGTCCTCCCAACATGAAAGGCGCTCTATAAATGTGTTGTTGTTGAGGACTTGATCTACCCAGGTAGTTGTTTGTCCTCTGCTTGTTTCAAAGTGGACACAAATTAGAACAACTAGTACTTATACTCTTAAAGCCTTCTTCCTCAGTCAGTTCTACCGATGGCTATGAGAGTAACATCCGAGGTATGCCCGGATTCAACTAAAAGCTTCATGGTTGTCGTATAGAACAAACTTTTTTGTGAATACCCAAAGGATAAGCAAAAACTCATCTGCTGTCAAATAATGGTACATCAGACTCATTTGATACAAAACATTTTAGAATGCTTCACTAACAAAATGGCAAATAAAGGCAGAAGACCATTTATGTTTGTGCAGGTACAAATTCTTCTTTAGGTATTTACGCTAAACATCATGTTTAGCACCAGCATCATTTTTGTGCAGAATTCTCCTACTGGAGGTATCTACTGTAAACATTGCCAGAAGAATAAATTATCTGCTGCTGCTGCACTAAAGACAGAGGATGCTAAGATTTGTGGAATCAGTCTCCTAATCTAGATGAGCGTCTCTGATTTGGCAGAGTGGATATTAGAGAACACGTCTGTCACTGTAGTACATCTAGGGAATGGTGTCAGGATTCAGATGGATGTCATTTTACAGCTGCAAATTCTCAAGAGTTATGATACCAGTGGAGGTTTCCTGTATTTAACATTTTTATTTCACAAAATATTCTGATATCAGTCGTGCTGAAGGTTAAAGGTTTTTTTAAGGGCAAATGTTGGGCGGGTTTCCTTGCTCCGCACGTCTTTGTTTACCTGGTGGTGAGTGGGAGCCCAGTTGTTGGTCGATTAGCGGATCGCTTTTCCAGGGGTAATAATTCCTTCAACAAATAAAATAATAATAATAAACTGGTCACTCAATCCACGACTGTTTGTGGGCACTGCTGGGTTTCACCCACAGAAAATACTGTACATGCAGTATCACCCACAAAATATACATTCAATTCATTTTACAGTATATTCTGTGAACCGCTTTGAGGCGTCTCCAAGATGTGATAAGGCGTAATATCAAATGCAAGTATTATTATGTTATTATGTCTCTTGTGATATTCCATCAAATTGCAGTTAACATCCATCACCAAGTATAGCTGGCTCTGCTCAGAATGAGTACCAATACTAAACATAACTAACTCCCTGAACATGTGAAACAAAGTGATTATCATTGATACTGAAGATCCTCATGACCAGTTTGATTTTTTTTTACAGATTTAGCTAGTGAAGAAAAGAAGAGATTAGAAGAAAAACAAAGAGCTGCTCGCAAACAACGAGCCAAGACAGAGGACGAATGTAAAAACAAGTTAGTATATTCCTTCATTTTGTGATTCGAAGATTAAAATTAAAGGATTCTGGTGCATCAAATTATTGAGATGCCTTTTTTTTTTACCTCAAAGTGCTGGTTCTTGTGTACACCTTAGGCCTTGGATTGCAAGCACATTGAAGGAAATTACAAGATGGTATGCACCATTTTTAGAACATCAAACAAGTGTCATATGCCAATAGAACTACTCAAATACTACTTTTTTGTGCTATTGATTTTTAGTCACATGCAAATAATAATCCTTGGTATAGTGCCTTTCACATCAGGAGGGCATCTCAAAGCGCTTCATTGGATGCAAGGCAAAATGGAGTGACTGTGTGTTTTGTGGGCAAATTGACTGAACCAGAGTATTGGGTAGTGCAGTAGGGAGCACATTCTCAGACCTGGGTTTGAATACAGTCACTAAACTCTACATCGAAGGGCCAGAAATCTCCTGTATTGGCAACCAGCAAAGATTGCAAATAAAATGAGTTTGGAAAGTTTCAGAGGTATGCCTTAGCATGTCTGTAAAACTGAAGTATCACTTGGGAGGGTCCATAAGAAAGCAGGTGTGTTTAATGTAAAATTACTGCAGGTGGAATTAAATATTCAGGCTAAGCTACATGGTTGGGGTACAATAGAATACATCCAATCCATGTTGTACTTGACCGGGAAGTGCATTGTGCTGACAGTGTTAGTTTGATACTACTACAGTGGTAGAATTAATTCATTTTCCTATTATTAACATCCCACCTCGATGAATCCATAAATCCACCAAAACTTTGCAAGTATCTGTTCTGTTGTTTAATTGAGTTCTTCAGCACATGCATTTCTAGGTGTTTTAGTAGCACATTACAGTGATTTATTTTCATATGATTTATTATACCTATCGTCTCTCATGGTAACTTCTGTTTTTGATTGTTATATGTAATCAACCCAGGAGACCTAAGTTTTCTTCAGATATTTATTGTAAACTTAACGATTTCCTTACTTTAAAAGTTTACACTTGCATTGATTTTTCTCTGTGTAGCAGGATTAAATATTTTCTAATGTTTTGTACTTCTCTCTTCTTTCTAAAGCACCCAAGATATAGAGAATGCCAGGTTTGGCCTTTTTATATCTTCTTGTTAGTTCTTTCTGGGTTAAAAGTTTAGTGTAGCTTTTATGCTCTTTCAAGTTAATTATAGTACTAACAGTTGTAAAACAAAACCGAGATATGAATACATAGTTTAGTAGAATGTATTTCATCGCTTATAGACTGGTTATGTGGGAGGCCAAAGTCTCATCCATTATTAGCTGCTGTTTTTTAAAAAAAATATATTTATCTAAACTAAATTATAGAAACAATGCATCTTAAAGCAGCCGTAAAATGAGTAATTACTCTGTTTTGCAAATTAAATGATTCAGTTAATATTAGTTTAAAATGACTTGATGATAAGAGTTTTATGGTGTCCAGTAGAGCCTCGAGTTTGGAACCTCAACATAGTGGTTGGAACCCATAAAATCCCTAGTGAGACAATCACTCATTTCACTGTGTGTGCAGCAAACCGATCTGAATCAAAACTCTGCAATTCCTGTAAATACTGTCCTCTCAACAACCACTACATATAGCATCTTACACCTCAGGAGGAAGGGTCAAAATACTTCACATGTAACTATGCCCAAGCTAGTTATGAGGGGTCAACGCATATTTTTAACTTACATTTCATCAAATGCACACTTGTATGCATTAAATTCAACTTGTGCTTACTTCCGTTTTCTGTTTTCCATCTCCCTGTAAGGACATTATACTTTGTGAATGTTGAAATGTGATGTGAGTGTTTTTGAGTGAGGTTGTCATTGCCTTGTGTACGAAATTCACAATGAATAGAATGTGTCACTCTCGCCTCTGAGTCAGAAGGTTATGAGTTCAAGCCCACTTTGGGACTTGAAATTGCATAGTGTAGGCTAACACTCCAATGCAGTGCTGGGGGTGTGTTGCATTGGGGGAGATGCCATCCTTCGGATGAGATGTTACACCGAGGTCCCATCTGCCTGTTCATGAATGTTAAAGATCCCATTACACTTGGAAAAGAGGAGTTTCTCCTGGAGTTCTGGTCAACAATCCCCCAAATCACTCACTTTGTGGCTGTTTATGGGACATTGCTGTGTGCAACTGGCTGCGCTTTTCGCTTACAAAATACACCGTCAATCCATTTTACAGTGTATCCCGTGCTTTGAAGACGCCTCAACAATATAAGGCGCTATATCAAATGCAACGATTATTATTCATAGATTACACAAATGATGTGCAATAAGAACATGAGCAAGCATGCAACTAGGTTTTATGCAGTGGGATATAATTCTTGTCTTGTGTTGTCTCATAGTCGCAATATATGATCTGCATTAACAATTGGCAAATATGAACATTGCCTATAATTATATAATTAGCAGCCACAAAATTAGCTGCTGTTCTTTTGGCCATTACATGTTTGTAAATGATTAACCCAACTTGCAAATTTTGCACATGGTTTGTCAACCCAATCTGCAACTTGGGTGTCGGTGAGTGAATACTCAAAGCTGCTTTTGGTTACATTGACGTCAAACCTGCAACATAAAGGAGGTGTCTGAGTATGTCTATATCTAGGATAGTTTTGTTCAAAAACACTTTTTCTTTTTTAAACAAAGTGAAAATTGTAAATCTATGCCGTGTAAACAGATACTGAATAGCAATGAGCACATATGCTGAATTTCTAATAAATGGAAGGACAGTTTAGTGTGAAAGTGTAAGATATGAATGCCAAAATGCACACTAAATTCTATAAAAATGTTTGAATTTTATTAACAGGTGGTTTCATCAAGGCCCCAACCCTTACATTGGTGCAGCTGACTGGCTCTACACAGGAGGCTACTGGGACAGAAATTACTCTGACTGGCCTGACATTTATTGAGTCAGCAAACACATCGTGCACCACTGGGTACCATGAGCACCTTTCAGGACAGATTTTCGTAGTTCAACTATTTGTTTTGTTAGGTCCATTAGTTGGTACATTTCTTTACAGTTCAACCTCAACCAATACAAATTTACTTCTAATTTGTTTCTTTCAACACGAACATTCTTTTTTAAGCAACAGAGTATGTATTGAGAAGTCTCTTTAATGGGAACACCACTTTGGTGAACCTGTTTTCCCTTTTCCAACTGTTCCAGTTAATAACCTGTCATGTATATGTGGCCAAGAGCTCAACTCATGAACCCATCCTTAACGATTATTTTGTAAAAGTGACCCATTGAGCCCATTGAGTTCCTTGGGCCATTTTATTGCATGGTATTAACAAGTTAAGCTAATTCAACTCAATCATGCAGCTGTACTTAATGTTCCTTGACAACCTAATTATCATTCATCACAATGTTATAGTATTTCATGAAACATGTAAGTTCAACCAATTTTGCTTTTGATGTGATCCATTGATAACAACTGTTGTTACAATAGTAACTTCCAACAAAACTGAGCTATAAACAGTATTTTCCCTATAAGTCATAGCAATTGGAATAATTAAGTGCTTAAGAACAGTACTCATTAATTGGCATACACTAAAAAATAGCATTACTTGTTTAATTATCTCAATATAGCTGAAAAAGGGTACTCCATTATCACTTAGGAAATATTGATGGAAGGAGTACTTTACCTCCTATTATGCTCTGAGTGTACAACATGTTCCATCTTTAAACTTATTTAGAATTGGTTATCTTAGCACTCCATTACTTGCAGATTTAGTCTTTTCTATTGTGTGTTTGAGTTAAGTTTGACTTGTCATGTAGTGACTAAGTGATCTGATTTATTCAGGGATTGCAAAGCCATGATATAAGCCTTGCAAACCTGGTTTGAAAAACTGTATAGCTAAAGTGTAAAAGTTCTGTAATTATTTGTACAGTATATCAGAACTTAAGTTCCTAAAATTTTAAACTTTAAAAGAAGCTGGTTAAATATGTTAAAGCTACAATGCTCAAAATTAAATTGTGACTTGTACTTGTGTGAAGTACATTAATTTTGGGGGAAAATCTCCCATTTTAACACACAAAATTCCCGATACTTTAAATTTGCAATCGATCTGATCCATTGTGGCGATGCCCAAATGTGAAGTAGGTACCTAACTGGCAGAAAACGTTGTTGTGGCTGATTGTCTCCAAACAAATTGGGTGATCTACAACATTGATTTTTAATGTGAGATAGCCAATACATTACCATTTAAAATACAATTTTGTTTCTGATAATGAATACACTTGAATCACATTTCATCATTGTGATGCATTGCAATAGGAAATAAAGCAGGGTTCAGTGTATCTTTCACTGGATTGGATTGGTTGCACATTCTGTGTGTTACTGTCTGTTCATTTAGAAGGCCTTCATCTCTCTCCCTTTCCACTAAAGATTGAACAATGGGAAAGCATCTGAATTAATTTAGAGTCCTTCTGTATTGTTTCTTTACAACATCCCCCTTTATAGGGGCGGTGCATTGAATTAAATCTATAAGTGTGTATTTCTAGGCACATACTGCAGCTTAGAAGTAGAGTGACATAATGGAATTTTAACCTCCGTTTCATCATTTAATGTAAGTACATCAAATGAGTTATATTGCTGCTAAATAAAGGCATTACAAAATCCGTAGAGATAATTTTCTGGGCTTTGTTTTGAGAATTTGCTTGGTCAGCTGGGTATCGGACACACACACAAACCCATCACAGTGCTTATGAGTATCATTACCAGACTGCAAGTTCCATAAATGTGGGTCACACACACTGGGAAATTTGCCTGTCACTGGAACCAAAATATGTATGTGGCGGAATGCACCCTGCATTATCCTAATTTCATATTGGCACAGGTTGGCAAGCATCAAATAATTCCATGACTTAGCCATTATCATCCGATAGTGGGTTCCAAACATCTAATAGGGCAGACAGGTAAAATAACACCCATACCACATTTTCATAGGGTTGACGCAGCAGCCTTTTCCATCTCATCATGGATTTAAGCCCCACATCTGGTCTTTGAGCTCATAATCTATGTCGATGCTCCACTGCAGTCACGGGGGAGCACTGCATTGTCGGAATTGCCATTCTTCAAACAAAATGTTAAATCAAGGTTGTGTTTGCTTGTTCAGGAGGACTTAAAAGAACCCATGGCTTTATTGGTAAAGTACATTTTTCCTGGTGTCCTGGTCAGCAATCCCCAGATTAAAAAATATTAATTTATTTCATGGCTATTGCTATGCACAAAATAACTGCTGTGTTTGCCTAAAATGCATTTCCTGCACTGTACAGAGAATGCACCAAAGCACTTAGAGATGTTGATGTGGTTTACCAAATGAAAGGATTATTATACGTAGACAAGATTATAGCAACTATAAAGCTTCTAAACAGAGTGAGTTATCAATTAGAACACCAGGGAGGAGGAATACAATCTTAAAAAAAACTTTATTGCTGAGAATTGTGCACCTTTGTTTGAAGTGGCATGACCCTCAACTTACAAACAGTGGCAAAGGAGTAATGTTCCAATTCTACCTTACCTTAAGGCAAATGAACATGGATTTTCTGCACTTCAAAAACTATTTGGACACAATGAGTTATTGGGCATTAATGTTCATTGCAGAATGTATTTCTTTTACAGTAGTAATCAGAATTCTAACGTTATGCATCAGACCCTGCATCTTGGATCCCAATTCATCAAGTCTTAAATGTACCTTTTCAAAATCATCATCTATAACAGGTGATTCCTGCTCTGTTTGATGCTGGGTGGATGTTAGCTCTGAATCTAAGTTCAAATCCAGTTGATGCCCTGAAGACTGGCTCAAATTGCAGGAAATCAGTGATTGAGATTGCTCAATTGCTGAACCAGAAGCTTGTTGACTCACTGTGATTCCATCTTCAGAAAGGATTGAATTCACATTCAAATCGTCTTGTGTCTTTATCGATTTCAGAATAGCTACATAGAGGACGGAACACAAAGAGGATAGAATCATCAGATATTACAAAAAACGTGCAATTATAGACATGAACAAATGTGTTAAACACATTAACACATTTATTGAGAGCGCTACCAACTGAAACAAATTAACAATTTTTGTTCCATTATTCCTTATAACCCAGATGCAATATTTAAACCATTTTTGAAATATGCTGATCAATAAATATTAACAAAGATTTGGCAAATACTAATTCGGTGCGATCCTGGCTCAGCTGGTAGCAATCTTGTTTCTGGAGTCAGAAGATTTGAACTCCTCAACCTCCCTGGACTCTCCCTCACACTCACCGAACCAGTGCACAATCTAAGCTTCCGGTTCAACCCCCAACTCTCCTTCCTCCCCCACATCCGGTCCCTGACCAGGACCATCTTCTTCCACCTCCCGTCTCCGACCGTAACTTAGCCCAAATGCAGCCGAAACCCTTCACTCTCTGGCACCTCCCTACTTCTCCGACCTCAGTCCCCAATCACTGATCCGGCACCTCTGTTCAACTGGCACCGGCTTTCTGCTCGTCCCGCGCACCCTCCGCTCCACCATTGGAGGTCGCGCTTTCAGTCACTATGCCCCAAAAATCTGGAACACCCTCCTTCAATCGCTCCGTATTGCCCCCTTCCCTTTTTCAAGGTCCCCCAAAAAATCTTCCTCTTTGACCATGCCACCTCCACCTTCTCCCCCCTCCCCCCACCCCCACACACACAGCTCAGCAGAGTCGGGCTCCACCACTGTTAAGCACTCCAAGAAGCTACCCTGAGTGGAGGGTGCTAAAGTGCAAGTTGTTGTTGTCAGGAATTTGAAATCAGTTTCGACTGGCACTCCAGTAGAAGGTGGCATTGCTTGAGGTGTCGTCCTTCGGATGAGACACAAAACCAAGGCTATCCAGGTGGATATTCAAGATTTGATGGCAGGATTCAAAAAGAGACATTTTTCTCAGTGCCCTGGTCAACAATCCCCCAGATAAAATTGATCATTCACTTCCAAGGCTGTTTGTGGGACCGTGTGCAGATTGGTTGCCAGGTTCACCCACAAAATAGTTAAATTGACAGTAAATCTTATGAAGCACTCCTATGAGAAGTTCAAATGGTAAGGATTATTATAATCGCAGATGCACTAAATTGAACATTCAATAAGTAAATTAATAAATTCTTGTTCATATGAAGTCTTACCTGATTCATTTATGTTTTCATTCTCATTTTCATATTTCTTAGTGACATCTTTATTCTCAGGGTGGAGCATTTTTGCTAATTCACTTTCTACTGTTTCTTCAATTGTTCTTCTAGTTTTAAGGACTGGTAAACGTTCATGAAACTCAACTTTCTGAAGTAGATTGTTATGGTCTCCTGAGGTCTTATCCACATAGTATACATGCGAGACTTCATTAACACATCCTTGGTCAGATAGTACTGCTTCTAGGACACATGGAACTGCATCAAGTAAACCTAAAAGCTCGTTGTACTTATCCAGTGCAGTAATTTCAGAATAAAGTTCAGGTTCTTGATGACGTGATGGACTTTTACATATTACTCCAGGTTCAGTGAAGTATTCAGAGTGAACTGAGGTAGGTTCTGCGTGAACTGGAACTACTTTGTAAGGCAAGGAGACAACCTTCTGACATAATGCTGTGTCTAATGAAAGTGCACGGTGAGCTAAATATGTTTCTGAACTAGCTGGTTCTGTTTTATGAGTTGCTGAGTGGGGCTTATGCACTGAACTATGAATGATCCCATTATCAGCTTGGATTGGTTCAACATAGCCCAGAAATCTATCTGTATGTATTTGATTCATTTCTTCAAGAACCTCAAGAGCAACTGGTTCAGGTAGGTTCTTCAGGTTATCAGGAGGCATGTTACAAGTCACTTGCTCTGTTGAAGCTTCTTGGTCAATTGACATATGCTTAAGGTCAATTGGTGCCATTGTGTGGTCCATTGAACAAGAGTTTGTATAAATGCATGCAAAACCAGGTTCTTCGCCTTGATCCTCTGAACAACCATTTGTATAAATGTATACAAAACCAGGATTATTTTCTAGCGTCACATCAGAAATCGATATTTTAGACACTGGCTGAGGTATACTGTAACATACTTCAGTCACTGAAGGTTTAACTACTGGATCAGATGCAAGTGTAACACATGATGATTTCCCAGAAGGTTGAATTTCATTTTGATCTGATTCTTCTTCTGGTGTGGAGATGCTGTCTACTCTCTCCTGTGCATCCACTATTTGTAAAAGAGAGTCACTTTGATTTAAAATGCCAAATAATTCAAAACTAAATCTGATATCACTTATAATCGATCTGTGCTTAATGTATTTAATTCACAAATGTTTGTGGGACACTGCTGTGCGCAATTGGCTGCTGCGTTTCACCCACAAAATATAGTCAATTCACTTTACAATATATTCTGTGAAGCACTTTGAGATGTCTCAACAATGTAATAAGGCACTATATCAAATGCAAGGATTATTATTTAAAATGAGCTTTTATAGCAGTTATGTTACTCAATGTTCTAAACAATGGAAGAATTTATATAGTTATATAGAATTTATAATGGAAGAAATATGCCCAATACTGTAGCAGTAAGATCACTATTATATTATCTTTGATCAATGTTCAGTGCCACTTTATAATATTTTACATAAATCTTAAAAACTCTTCCCCCACCATGAATCCCTCATGCAAGGTCATTGTTATCTTGAAGTAAGACTTTTTCAAATCTCTCTCCCTAAGCTCATCCAAAACTTCCCACACTAGACTTCGTACACATTAACAATTTCCTGGGAGTGCTTTTTAACCCATATGTACTTTCTCTAAACCTTCAGACTTCCATGAGAAAATTAGCAGAATTATTCCAAGTGCCTTGCTGATGATTTTCTGAAACTTTCAAGTGTAGGCAGCTTCCATTCGTTTCCCAAACACGTTTTTCTGAAAGGCCTGAATCTCACATCAGCTGGTTCTGCAGGTTGAGAACATAAAGCATAGGACAAACTAATAAAGGCCATTTACCCCCCATCAAGCTATTCTTTCCAGTGGCTTTGCAAAATGTATTATTGTGCTCTTCTCCATGATACATCACCCTAAATATACTTGCATTTGATACTGTCCCTTAGCGTCCATTTTCGAATTCAAGATCCTCACCCACAAGGCCATTCACGGCCTCGCTCCCTCCTACCTCTCCGACCTACTATCCCCCTACCTACCTGCCCGTACCCTCCGTTCCTCTGGCTCCGGTCTGCTCCACATCCCCCGCCCCAACCGCGCTTCCATCGGTGGCCGGGCCTTCAGCCTCTCAGCCCCTAGGCTCTGGAACTCTATGCCCCAGTGCCTTCACCGCTTCCTCCCTTTCCTCCTTCAAGGCCGGTCTCAAGACCGTTCTCTTTGACCGTGCCTTCAGCTCCCCTCTCGACTCTCTACCCCCTCCTCACTCCCTCCCCTCCCCTCACCCTGACCATCTCCCCCCTGCTCGGGTCCTGACCCAACTGTACAGCGCCTTGGGACGTCCTCCCGACGTGAAAGGCGCTCAATAAATGGAATCTTGTTGTTGTTGTATCATAAAAATGTCTCCATGCGCATCACTGCAATTTACTATAACGTGTATTAGCTATTTGTAGCTAAATACAGTAGCCAATTTTCACACAGCAAAGACTATAAACTCATAAAATGAATCATCTGGTGAACTGATGGCCAAGATGCAGAGAGAATTCCTTTCTCTTTTTGAATAGTGTTTGCCATGGATCTTTTGACATCCATTTCTACAGATGGCCAGGACCTTGGCTGAATGTCTCATTAAAATCTAATCTGAAGGATGGCACCTCTTGACAATGCATCGCTCATCCAGCATTGCACTGGAGTTTCAGCCTAGACTATGAGCTCAAAGTCCCGACATGGGACTTGAACCCATAGCCTTCCGACCAGAGGAGAAAGAGCGCTACCAGCGACTGTTTCAACGGACTCATTTGTGATCTAAATCAAGTTAGAATAATAGACAGAGCCTTTAACTTATAGATGAATGTATCCAAAACATTAGTTTGTAACTGTTTATTAACTTTTTGATATATCTTTCCATTGATGGAAAACCTGTTAATGATAAATCACTCAAATCTACTGAAAAACTGAGGCCTGGAGTCCTGCAAAGTGACATATATATTCCTGGGTACCAAAAAATCCATAGCAGGTTGCTAAGGTGCAACTTTCTATGGGGGAAGCAATTTCTCAAATAAAATTGGTCATTATCTTAATGGCTGTATATTGCTGTGTGCCCAACGGCTGCCACATTCATCTACAAATAATTACTGATTTTAACTGGTGGAAGACGAAATTTGGAATCTCTACATATTTTCTACTAATGTTTATGTTCCCTTAATTACAAAAAGCAGTCTTTCAAATATCATAATTTTTCTTGTGATTTTTTGGCAGAGTCCACATTGTAACCTTCAAATTCTACTATAATAGCACCTAGTACAGGAGATTTGGGATCTTTCATAACTGCAAATCTTGGTTACGATTCCTACTCTTTCAGATACCAATAAAGACAACATTTTTGTCAATTTATGAATTTCTCTGGTAATTTTGTTCATATTTCCGTAATTCCTACTGCCATTGGGTGGCATTTGTGTTACATGTGCTGGATTTCACTCCTAGTGGAGCAATAGATTATTATTCAAGGTTCAGGTGTTTTCTGGAAAGCTGCCATCAAAACTTTATCAAGTCACTCATGTTAGGCTTAATGCCATAATCTTAAAAGTTACGTTCGTAAGAATTCATTTAAAAAAATAAGCAAAATAGTTTTAATTTGTTAGTCGATTTTTCTGCAAAAAGAATTGCGGATTTCCAAATTAAGACCTAATTTATGACTATTTTCCAAAATTCTTTCCAGTGCTAAACCTTAAGCCTAAGAACATTTCAGGCTCAATTTTCAAATTTTCAGCTTAAAAATTAAACATGCAAAAAATATTAACTGCTAAAACACTGACCATATCTACTGTGGTATACTAAATGATGCATAATTTATTCACTCTTACCTTTAGTTAAATAAAATAAATTTGCCAGTTCTATTACATCAAGGGTTGGATGCACTGTAAAACAGATAAGAAATATTAACTTCTTGTTTTCATTTCTTAAAAAATGTAGCTTTTTTCTTGAAATAGCAATAATCAAGATTCAGGATTAAAAAGTGGATTGAACACAAACCATCTCTAAACTGAAGCAATTCCTTGAAATATCCTGAAGCAAACTGGTGTACATCTACAGGTTGTTCATGCAGTACAGTTTTGCCCAGTGTCTCAAGCAGAACCCTGAAGCCATAAGGAACCACAGGTGTAGAACAGTCCATCATGGTATATGTTCTGTTTTTCCTGAGTTAATGAAAGAAAGCATTTATGTACATTCTAAATGACTGAATTTCTAAATTGTTACCTTTAATAAAGCTTTATGTGGTATCCATTATATCCCCTCTCATATTGACCAAGCTCATGATACTGATACCCAAGAGCCTTTTGCTGCCTACTTAGGTTCTCCATCAACTCAAGTTTGTCATTTCCATAATCAGGGGTTAATTCAGCAATGAGAATAACAACAATTTGCACTAATATAACGCTCTCCACGCAGGGTAGCGTCTCAGAGCGCTTAACAGTGGCGCAACCTGACTCTGAGTTGTGGGTTGGGGCAGGTGGCCTAAGTACGGTCGAACAGGAAGGTTTTCAGGCGGGACTTGAAAAAGGGGAGATACGGGGCAAGGCAGAGGGATTGAAGGAGGTGTTCCAGATTTTGGGGGCGTAGTGACTGAAAGCACGATCACCGATGGTGAGGCGGAGGGTGTGAAGGACAAGCAGGAGGCCGGTGCCAGTTGAATGGAGGCATTGGGTGGTGGATTGGGGAATGAGGAGGTTGGAGAGGTAGGGAGGTGTCAGAGAGTGAAGGGATTTGAATACGAGTGTGAGGATCTTGAAGTCGATCCGTTCAGTGAAGGGGAGCTGGTGGAGCCTGGCCAGAACTGGTGAGATGTGGGTACGGAGTTTGGTCTGGGTAAGTATGTGGGTGGCAGAATTCTGAATGAGCTGGATCTTTTGTATAGTGGAACTGGGGAGCCGGCGAGGAGTGCATTTGTGTAATCCAGGCAGGAGGCGACAAACGCATGCAGGAGCATTTCAGCTGCATTTGGGGTAAGGTACGGTTGGAAGCGGGAGGTGGAAGAAGGCGGTCTTGCTCAGGGACTGGATGTGGGGGCGGAAGGAGAGCTGGGGGTTGAATCTACGCCTAGATTGCGCACTGGTTTGGTGAGTGTGAAGGGAGGTTGAGGAGTTCAGATACGCAGGAGGACATGGGGTTTGAACTTACAACCTTCTGACCCAAGAGACAAGACTGCTACCAGTTGAGCCAGGATAGCACCGAACTAGTATTTGCCGCATCTTTGTTAATATTTATTGATCAGTATATTTCAAAAATGGTTTAAATATTACATCTGGGATATAAGGAATAATGGAGCATAAACTGTTAATTTGGTTCTGTTGGTAGCACTCTCAATAAATGTGTTTATGCTGTCAAAGATTCATAATTGTTCATGTTTACTTTTGCGCATGTTTTTTGTAATATCTGATTTAATTCTATGCTCTTTGGGTTCTGTCCTCTATTTAGCTATTCTGAAATATAATTTTATATGTTGAAAAACAAAATGCCTTTCACATTGGATGGATGTTTCAAAGTGATTTACACAGATGATGGGGATTTTCAAGCAGGGAGGCTTCCAATTTAAACTCCTACAGACACCCTGTAGAATGCCCAGAAGAAAATAAGCAGAAATATCACCACCCCCAAATCTGAACATTAGTCACCAGATTTATAATATCTTCTTATTAGGGAGTTATAATTTGATTAGAAGAATCTTGCTTTTATCATGAATTGCTATTCTCAGCAATTCACTATTCCATTGACATTAGGTAGCCTAGCAACAAATAATAACCTCAAAAATTACAAATCAAGACACTGAAACTTTTGCTTACTCACTCAAGGATCAGAGTTAGGAAAAATCAACAGTAAAGCTAAATATTAAATTTATGTTAAAATAGTGAAATAGTCACTACTTTTTTTTACATGTATCTTGTGAAGTGCTTTGAAACAGCCTCCCAGTGTGAAGGGCGCAATATAAATACAAGTTTTTGTTGTTGTTATGGTGAAAGGTGCTATTTAATGTAAATTGTTTTATAGTATTGCCATTAACACTGTAAGGCAAATGGTCCACAACATGGAGCAGAGAGCGCCAAATGTTATGTTATGTACACAAACTAAGAATACAGGAGTAAATCCAAACAATTTTAAAAATACATAGTTTTTGGTCAGGAATCTCTCCTGTTCGAAGCCAACTTGCCTCAGAATTCATGAAATACATCAGGTCCTGCATCCACATTCAGACTGTGTGATTCTTGCCATAGGTTCCAGAATTAATCTAGAAAGCAGTGTCAGAGATGTAGCAACATATTTTCATGATCCTCTACTTAATACATATAAATACTTGATTCCTTTACTCAAAAAAATCAGACTTATTACTAATCAACCGTTTTGTACAACTGACTTTCTTGAGCTTGGACATTTGTAACATGTAAACTTGAGAAGACTTCAGCATCAGTAGCAAAGCAAACGCCGAACACAAAGACACACACAGCACCCGGATCCAAAAAGAACAAAGATGCACGAAGCTCCTGAGCTGCTCTTTCTGGAATAAATAAAATTGCTAATTTGCTCCACAGCTGTAGGTAGGACACACCTGCGTGCATGTTGTTGTTGTTGGTGTGTGTAAATTGGCTGTAGCGATCATTTACAGAAACAGTCACTACACTCGACAGTAAACTCTGCGCAGTGCTTCAAGGTATCCTCCCGATACTGTATCAGGTGCTATATCAATCTATAACCGGTTAAAACCTCCGAACCACGTAACTTGCTATTGAGAGCACCGCCTGGGCCGAGGGGGGAGATCGCGCGAGACACCTTTTGCTCCTGTTACCTGACCTTCTGCAACCAGCTCACCTTGTGTGTGTGTGTGTGTGTGTGAGAGTGTGTGTGTGTGTGTGTGTGAGAGTGTGTGCCCAGGCTCTGGCCACCCCACCACTGCCACCGGCTTGAGTTGTCCTTGAAGCAAAACTGCCTGAAGCGGAGGCGGCGACTTGGCGCTTACACACCCACGTTGTTATTGTCGCGTCAGCGGTGGTAAGCAGTTACGTGAACCCTCCTCTCACCCCCACCCCCCCCGCTCCCCCCCGGGAGGGAGTCAGTCAGTCTGGGCTATGAGGGGCTGGGAATGAAGTGAAGCCGCGGCGACACCGCCTCGCCTCGCCTCCTCCACACGGGGGAAGCTGGGCCACGCAGGCTCTGGCCTCTCGCCTTGCGTCACCCACCTTCCGCCACTCGCTTTGCTTGAAGAGGGCGCGAAGGCCACTCGCTTACCTTCCTCCCTCACACCCGCCCGCCCGCCATCTTCAAGCACGACGGCTCCACACCAACCGCGGCTTTTGCGTTTGAAGTCCAAGAGATCCTGATACGAAGCGAGGAAACCACCACCGGCTGCGCCCACCACTCCCCGCCATAACACTACCGACTGCTCCTCGTCCCCGTAAACCCCGCCCCTGCTCCTCGGCCCCGGTAAACCCCGCCCCTGCACCTCGGGCCCGGTAAACCCCGCCCCCGCTCCTCGGCCCCGGTAAACCCCGCCCCTGCTCCTCGTCCCCATAAACCCCGCCCCTGCTCCTCGGCCCCGGTAAACCCCGCCCCTGCTCCTCGTCCCCATAAACCCCGCCCCTGCTCCTCAGCCCCGGTAAGCCCCGCCCCTGCTCCTCGGCCCCGGTAAACCCCGCCCCTGCACCTCGGGCCCGGTAAACCCCGCCCCTGCTCCTCGTCCCCATAAACCCCGCCCCTGCTCCTCGTCCCCATAAACCCCGCCCCTGCTCCTCGTCCCCATAAACCCCGCCCCTGCTCCTCGTCCCCATAAACCCCGCCCCTGCTCCTCGTCCCCGTAAACCCCGCCCCTGCTCCTCGCCCCATAAACCCCGCCCCTGCACCTCGTCCCCGTAAACCCCGCCCCTGCTCCTCGGCCCCGGTAAACCCCGCCCCTGCTCCTCGGCCCGGTAAACCCCGCCCCTGCTCCTCGGCCCCGGTAAACCCCGCCCCTGCTCCTCGGCCCGGTAAACCCCGCCCCTGCTCCTCGGCCCCGGTAAACCCCGCCCCTGCTCCTCGGCCCCGGTAAACCCCGCCCCTGCTCCTCGGCCCTGGTAAACCCCGCCCCCCCCCCCCCCCCCCTGCTCCTCGGCCCCGGTAAACCCCGCCCCTGCTCCTCGGCCCTGGTAAACCCCGCCACCTGCCGTTTGAATTTTTGGGTCCAACTGATGAACCGCTTCAAAAAAACAACAGCGAAATTACATTTGTAAAGCGCCTTTTAGGTCGGTCGGGAGGACGTCTCCAGGCGCTGGACAATCAGCGTTTCCGATTCGAGCCGGGGGTCGGGAGGGGTGGGGGGGCGAGGTGGGGGGGGGGGGGGAAGCAGCATGATCAAAAGCACGTTTCAAGAGGAGGGTCTTGAAGGTGGCGAGGGAGGGAGTTCCAGAGGGTGGGAGCAGAGTGGCTGAAGGACCGACCGCCCGCCAACGGGGGGTTAGGCGAGACGGGGGGCGTGAAGCAGGCCGGAGCCCGCTGAGCGGAGGGAGCGGGCAGGTTGGTAAGGGCTTAGGAGGTCGCAGAGGTAGGGGGGGAGCGAGGCCATGGAGGGCTGTGAAGGTGAGGACCAGGATCTTGAACTGTATCCTCTGTGTGATGGGAAGCCTGTGGAGTCGGGCGAGGATGAGGGTGATAGGGTCCACGGAGCCTGGAGCGGGAGGGACACGGGTGCAGAGTTCTGGATGAATCTGCAGCCCGTGGAGGGAGGAGTGGGGGAGGCCGAGACGCAGGGAGTTTGCAAAGTCAAGCCTCGATGTCATGAAGGCGTGTACGAGGGTTTCGGCGGCCTGCGGGGTGAGACAGTGGCGGAGCCGGGCGACGTTGTGCAGGTGGGGCAAGGCAGAGCGAGTCACGGCGCAGACGTGGAGTAGAAAAGACAGTTAAGGGTCAAACAAGACGCCAAGGCTCCGGACGGGCTTACTAAGGTGGAGTGTGCAACCACGGATGGTGATCCTGTCAGCGCCCGAGGTGTGGAGGCACTGACAGGAGCCAGTCAGGAGAGCCTCGGTCTTGTTGACATTCAACTGTAGAAAGTTAGATCTCATCCAGGACTTGATGTCTGACAGACATTCTGTCAGCACAGCAGTGGTACTGGAGTCGAGGGTGGAGGCAGAGCAATAGAGTTGGGTGTCATCTACACACGTGTGGAAATTGCCCCCATGTCTGCGGATTATGTCACCAAGAGAGGGCATATAGATGTTGAAAAGGAGGGGACGAAGGGGGACAGCCCTGAGGAACTCCTCACAAGCCGGTGCGGGGGCTAGAGGAGAAGCCGTTTGTGGAGATGGAAGTGGAGACGGTGTGAGAAGGTAAGATCTGAACCTTCAAGAGGTGGAGGATAGAGTGGTGAACGGTATCCAAGGCAGCAGAGAGCTTAACGTCCTACTTCAAGGTAGGAGAGAAGGTAGCAATAGGGAAACGAGAGAGGAGGCAGTGGGGAAGGAGAGAGAGAAGGTGGCAGTTCTGCTTTTCCCCACCTCAGCAACATTGCCCGCCTCCACCACTTCCTCTCCTCTCAGGCTGCCGAGACCCACATCCATGCCTTAATTACGTCCAGGCTTGACTATGGTAAAATCCCTGCTCACCAGACTTACCAACTCTTTCCTTCACAAGCTTCAGAACTCTGCAGCTCATGTCCTCCTCTCCCGCACTAACCACCGTGGGCCAATGCCCACATTCTTGCCCGGCTTCACTGGCTCTCCATCCCAAGAGGATTGTGTTTAAGATTCTCGTCCTCACCTTTAAAGCCCTCTACCATCTTGCTCCTGCCCACCTCTGGGACCTACCAACCTGTATGCTTTCTCTGCTTGCAAGGGACTGGCCTGCTCCTTGTCCCCCACCCTTCCCGCTCCACCATCGGCTGTCAGACTTCAGCTTTTCTGCCCCCATCCTCTGAAATTCCATCCCGAAGCCCCTCCGCTTCACCCCCTCCCTTGTCTCCTTCAAGGTCCATCTCAAGACCTTCCTCTTCGACTGTGCCTTTGATCATCCTCCCACTCTCACCCCCCTTGCCCTCCACCCCTTTTGATACCAAACCTCAGTTCAGGTGTAAACCCTTCACTGCCCAGGCCTTGGGACATCCTCCCGACATGAAAGGTGTTATATAAATGCAATTTGTTGTTTTACGATGTTGAAAAAAATATAGAAGTCATGCACTAATGCAATAAGATCTTTATTGCAAAAATTCTTAATTTAAGTGCCAGGGTTCAATAACATAACTAATGTCTTCAGCCTTTTCGTTTAAAAAAAAGTGCTTTACTTCAGAAGACAAACCCTAAGCTATTTTTCCAAAGGAGTTTTGATCAATCAGACTGGGAGGTTATGCAGTTTCATCTTCCTTTGGCGGTTCCTGTTCTGAGCCTGAAACCTGTTCGCGGTTCACAACATCAGCAAGAGTTTTAATACTGTCTATGAGACCATCCATCTTGGATCCTAATTCATCAATTCTTCCATACACCATTTTAAACCCTTCATCTACAATGGTGGGTAGCTGCTCAATGGATTCACCCTTCTGTTGAGATGGGCTGGGAGAATCTTCCCTAGCAGCTGGACTTTGAACATCATCAGAAGCTGCTGGCTCGGCTTTTTCTTCAGGTTTTTCTGGGATATCTTCAGAGATTTCTGGCTTTTTTTCTGCCTTCGGTGAGTCTGGAATATCTATATTAGAAAACACAGGTCATAATAAATGATAATAAATTGTCATTTAACAGCTCATCCTGAAATTTAATGCCAGTTTAATATGCCTAGAAATGGCAAATGCCCATTTTCTCTTTGTTGTTATTTAATACTATTTTTCCGAATAATGCAGAATGGAAACCGAATAAAGATCAGAATTTCACCATCTTCCAAGTGTCAGTCTGAGTATGTAATGCTGCTCTCCTGTCCTCAAATACTCCCACACTCACCGGCTGCATTGAATCGTGGGAAATAATGTCCTGACCTGTCCACCCATGTGCATGTGGCGACAGGACTAGACGCACTGAATTGCAGCAAATGTAGTCTTGACCCATCACCACATGCGCACTTTACCAGCCGCATTGAATTAAGTAATTATGGTGTAGATTAATTAAATTAGATTTTGTACGACTTATACAGGTTTGCTTGCAACTCAGACTTCACATAAGTCATTAAACGTTGTGGTCCCGAGTGATACGGCTTATGTGAGTTTTACTGTACTCTTCAAATTACTTCTCCCTAATTTATGCTATGCTTCATACAACTTCATGGAGCTTTCTTGGAGAATAGGACATAGTATACCACTAAGATACCATTGACATGAACTGTCCACCATTCAAAGAATTTGATAAAACCTGGTGGGAATAGATAAATACCAGAATGACAGCACAAAAAAATTAGGAGGTTGTATACAAAATGTGAAACAGTGTATTTGAAATCTCTAAAAATAGCACAAAGAAAAAGTCAGTCTTGAAGCTATTGCTTTGTTTGGCATAGAATACAGTAATTTTATTTTGATTTGATTAAAGAGACAGAGAGACACTTTCATTGTCACAAAAATATTTTTAGCTTATCTGTAGTTGATCTGATAACAGATTTGGGAAATATGAATTCTCTGTTTGTAAATAGAAGGCGACAACAATTTATGAAGCATTGTTAAAATGTTCTTAGTCAGAATCAGCTTTGAAACAAAAATCTAAAGTGCTGATTGCAATAGTAGGTGTAGGCCACCCTACCCATCAAGTCTACTCTACATTTTTATTAGATCATAATAACAACTCTGTCACATTTGATTTGACTTACTCATGTAGTTCACATTCTGGACAAGATGTTAGTTAATTAATTGTTCAATGAGGAGCCTCACTGATAAGTTAAAAGTATAAATGCACAGATTCTGAAAGTGAAGAGACGAGAGTGAAGGTAAATGAAGAAAATGATGGTGGGGGTAGTGTGGGATGGTGTAAGATGGCAATAGTAAAGTGAGATTATGATTTTAATTTTGATTTTAAGTTTTGATTTTTCTCTGCTATGTAAAATTTAGTACAATCTCCAGATCAGTGGCATCAAAGTAAATGAAAAAATAAATGTATCTAAAAAGAATATTTCAGGGGTCCGTAAGCTGAGTGAAAATACAAGCAAAGGCAGTTGATAAATGACTTCTTCATATGGTGTGTAGGGTAGTAGGAATTACGGTGGGGGTATGGGTGTTATGGTTAGCACGTAATAGTGCTTTGGAATGGTTAAGGCCAACAATAACAAAACAGAAATACCAGGCTTTGTGACCTTGGAACAACAACCAGTAGATTCAAGTAGAAAACATAATAATAATATTAATAATCCTTGCATTTGATATAGTGCAAGGATTATTAATATTATTTTTTAAACTGATTTAAAATAGTTGGTAAAAGAAATGGGAGGTGAGGAGAAATGTTTTTAATGGAAATAGAGTCCTGTAGCTCAGTGGTTAGAGCACTCACTTTTCAAGTGAGACACCTAGGTTCAAACCCAGGCAGGGCGAAACCTTGGGCAAGTTTCCTTACTCCACACGCCTAATAATAATCCCTCCAAAACCAAAATAATAAATTGGTCATTTTCAATCCATGACTGTTTGTCGGACACTGCTGTGCGCAATTGGCTGCCGCGTTCGCCCACAAATATACGTTCAATTCACTTTACAGTCTATTATGTGAGGCGCTTTGAGACGTCGAGAAGACGTGAAAAGTGCTATATCAAATGCAAGGATTATGTATTAGATTATATATTATTATATATTATATTTTGATATAGTCCTGGCCCCTGACTGTTCAGCACCTTGGAACATCCTCCCGATGTGAAGGGCGCTCTATAAATGTAATTTTGTTGTTGTTGTAGTGCCTTATCATGTTGTTGAGACATCTCAAATACACTGTGAAGTGGGTTCACTGTGTACTTTGTGAGCGAAACATGGCAGCCAATTGTGCACAGCAGTGTCCAAAACAGTCATGGATTGAGTGACCAAATTATTATTATAATGTGTGTTATTGTTATTATTATTTTTGAAAGAATTATTACCCCTGGAAAGCAATCCGCCAATCAACTACAACAACAACAACAACAACAAGATTCCATTTATAGAGCGCCTTTCACGTCAGGAGGACGTCCCAAGGCGCTGCACAGTTGGGTCATGACCCGAGCAGGGGGGAAATGGTCAGGGTGAGGGGAGGGAAGGGAGGGAGAGAGGAGGGGGGAAATGGTCAGGGTGAGGGGAGGGAAGGGAGGGAGCGAGGAGGAGGAAGAGAGTCGAGAGGGGAGCTGAAGGCACGGTCAAAGAGAAAGGTTTTGAGACCGGCCTTGAAGGAGGAAAGGGAGGAAGCAAGGCGAAGGCACTGGGGGATGGAGTTCCAGAGCCTCGGGGCTGAGAGGCTGAAGGCCCGACCACCGATAGTAGGGCGGTTGGGGCGGGGGACGTGGAGCAGACCGGAGCCAGAGGAACGGAGGGTACGGGCAGGTAGGTAGGGGGATAGTAGGTTGGAGAGGTAGGAGGGAGCAAGGCCGTGAATGGCCTTGTAGGTGAGGATGAGGATCTTGAAATCAATCCTCTGGGGGATGGGGAGCCAGTGGAGGCGAGCGAGGGTGGGAGTGATGTGGTCCCGAAGCCTGGTGCGGGACAGTACACGAGCTGCAGAGTTCTGAATGACCTGCAGCTTGTGGAGGGAGGTGGCGGGAAGGCCGGCGAGGAGAGAGTTCCCATAGTCCAGCCTTGAGGTGACAAAGGCGTGAACCAGGGTTTCAGCAGCGTGAGGGGTGAGGTAGTGCCGTAGTCTGGCGATATTCCGGAGGTGATGGAAGGCGGTGCCAGTTGTGGTGCGGATGTGAGGGAGAAAGGACAGCTCAGGGTCGAACAAAACGCCGAGGTTCCTGACTGGCTTTGAGAGGTGGAGAGTGCAGCCTTGGATGCTGATGGTGTCAGCGCCTGAGGTGCGGAGGCGCTGACGTGAGCCAATCAGGAGGGCCTCGGTTTTTCGCACGTTGAGCTGAAGAAAGTTGTCTCTCGTCCAGGACTCGATGTCGGACAGGCAGGCTGTCAGGACATCGGTGGTCGTGGAGTTGAGAGTAGAGGAGGAAAGGTAGAGTTGGGTGTCATCCGCATACATGTGGAAGTTAACCCCATGTTTGCGGATGATGTCACCAAGGGGGAGCATATAGAGGGTGAAGAGGAGGGGACCGAGGACAGAGCCCTGAGGGACACCACATGAGACAGTACGGGGGGTGGAGGAGAAGCCATTCGTTGAGACGAAGTGAAGACGGTGGGAAAGGTAAGAGCTAAACCATTCAAGGACAGTGCCTTGAAGGTTGAGGTGGGAGGACAAGCGGTGGAGTAGGATAGCGTGGTCGACCGTATCGAATGCTGCCGATAGGTCGAGGAGGACGAGGAGACAGAGGGAGCCCTGGTCACAGATAGTCAGGATATCATTGGTGACCTTGACCAGGGCAGTTTCTGTGCTATGAGCAGCACGGAAACCTGACTGAAGGGGTTCGAAAAGAGAATGGGTGGAGAGGAAAGAGCGCAGTTGGGAGGCGACAACTCTTTCCAAGACCTTGGAGAGAAAGGGGAGGTTGGAGATGGGCCGGTAGCTTGATAGCTGCGACGCATCAAGGGAGGGTTTTTTCAGGGTGGGCGTGATGATGGCAGTTTTTAATGGAATGGGGACAGAGCCAGAGGAGAGGGACAGGTTTATGATGTCAGTGATGTGTGGGGCAAGAAAATGGAGCTGGGAGATAAGGAGTGGAGTGGGGATGGGGTCAAGGGAGCAGGTGGTTGGTTTTAGGGATAGGATGAGTTCAGTGACAGAGGGTGGGGAAACGGGTACGAAGGTGTGTAGGGGAGGATGGGTAGGAGTCGGAGTGTGGGAGGGAAGGGGTGGGTGGTGGGTGGAAGTTGGAGGGGAAGTGACCGCGGAGCGGATTCCCGGGTTCCTTCTTACTGCTAGATAAACAGAGGCGTGTGGAGTAAAGAAACTTGCCTGAGGTTTCACCCTGCCCGGGAATGGAACCCGGGTCCTCTTGCTTGCAAGGCGAGTGCTTTAACCCCTACGCTACAGGGTTCCATAAATAGAAAATAACAATGGAAAACATGGAAATTTTATTTTTTTAAGGAACTTAGAAATATATATATATATAATATAGCCAAGAGAAACTGAGGAAGACTAGTGGTCAAAAGGGAACAAAACTGATTTGAAGACCAAGCAGAAATATTTTAAATTAAAAAAATTAGATGTAGTTGTATGGAAGTCATACTAAAACAATTCGAGATAAATAAAAGGTGTCAAAATAGGTAAAGTTAATAATAATCTTTAATTTAGTACAGTACCCTTCACGCTGAGAGGATATCTCAAAACTGTTCACAGGATATACTGTGAGTATAGTGACTGTGTGTGTTGTAACAGCAACAACAACTTGCACTTATATAGCACCCTCCATGCAGGGAAGCGTCTCAGAGCACTTAACAGTGGGGGAGCCTGACTCTGAGCTGGGTGGGGAGGGAAGTGGCCATGAGCACGGTCAAAGAGGAAGGTTTTCAGGTGGGACTTGAAAAAGCGGTGAGAGGGTCTAGGCAGAGGGATTGAGGGAAAGTGTTCCAGAGTTTCGGGCGTAGTGGCTAAATGCGCGACCTCCGATGGTGGGGCGGAGAGTGCCAGGGATGAGCAGGAGGGCGGTGCCAGTGGAGCTGAGGCGCCAGGTGGTGGAATGGGAAGTGAAGACGTCGGAGAGGTAGGGAGGTGCCAGAGAATTAATGGATTTGAACACGAGTGTGAGGATCTTGAAGTCGATCCATTCGGTGATGGGGAGACAGTGGAGCTTGGCCAGCACCGGTGAGGTGGGTATGGCGTTCGGTCCGGGTAAGTGTGCGGGCGGCAGAGTTCTAAATGAGCTGGATCTTTTGAATAATGGAGCTCGGGCGAATTGCGTAGGAGTGTGTTTGAGTAATCCAAGCGGGAGGTGACAAACACATGCACGAGGGTTTGTAAGGGAACACAGCAGCCGATTTGTGCGCAGCAGAAACAGCCAAGTAGTGAATGAACAATATTATCTCAGGCAAAATGCAAAATACTGCAGATGCTGGAAAACTGAAACAAAAACAGAAGTCGCTAGGAACACTTAGCAGGTCAGGCAGCATCTTTGGAGAAAGAAAAGTGAGGCAATGTTTCGGGTCCACAACCCTTCGTCAGAACTAGGGTCATGGAACCAATATGTTGACTCACGTCCCTTTCTCCATAGATGCTGCCTGACCTGCTGAATGTTCTCAGCGACTTCTGTTTTTGTTTAATATTATCTCAGGGATTCTCTGCCACAACAATAGGAGAAATTCCCTTCTCTTTTCGAATACAGTAGTGTCTTGGGACCGTTTAAATTCCACTTGAACAGGCAGATGAAACCTTAAACTCCAAACAATGCAACATACTTCCAACACTGCAATGAAGTACCAGTCCTCCCGACACCAAAGGCTCTACATCAAATGTAAGGATTATTATTATTAATGATAAAGTCCCAAATGGGGCTTGATGCCACAGCCTTCTGATTCGGAAGTGAGACCAATTGAGACAAGCTGACACAAAAAATGTAAAGGGTCAATTGAAAGATGAGTGGATCAGTATCAGTCTGTATCAGTAAAACAAATTCAAACAATTGTTTCAGTAAGTAGTAGTTAATGTGGTATATTTGGATTTTAAAGATAAAGTCAAATGACTTCTTCACATCAGTTTTCACGAATGAAGACTTTGAATGAATTCCAGATTCTACTAATTTTGGTTCAGGAATTTATTTCCTATGTAGATGGCAGAAGAAATTCCAGAAATGTGTTTTAAGTGGGCATTTAGACTAAATAAATATATATTAAAAGTCTAAAAGAAATGAGTGAATATACTGTCAATGTTTTCCACTAATTTAATGAAAGACAATTTGAATTATGAAATTCTGAATTTGCTCCCAATATTCAAAAAAAGTTTATAAGACGTGAACCTAAGAATTATAAGCTGGTAAGCCTAACATCTATGGTTGCAAAAATGCACAACAATATCATTCAGAATGCTACAATTGTTTAATGGAAGAGCACAAAGGCCATAATGAATAGTCAGCATGGTTTTAGTTAGACATAGTTCACAAACCTAATTTAGTTCTTTGAGAAGGAAATTAGATTAGTGGAGCTATCCAGTGGAGATTTCCTTGGATTTTCAGAAGGTATTTCACAAAGTTCCACATATGAGGCTTTCAGACAAGATTGAAGCTCATTTGATTAATGGAAATGAGCAAAATGCATTGAAAACATATAACATGACCAGATTAATCCTTACATTTTGGGATTTCAAGTAAATGAAAAACTGAATGTGAAGCCCAGGTTTCAATAAATATTATGCCTAGCTTTTATAAAGGTTGCTTATACCTCTGCAACAAATGCTGGGAGCTAGGAGAAACAGAAATAAGTTAAGCAAGAGATTTTAAACTTAAGGTTGGAAAGTTAGTCAAATTAGGTAGAAAATAAATATTAAAGTTCAAAAATACAACAAAGAAAATATTAAAAGAGTTTGAGAGAACAGTATGAAAAGGACAACAAGATTGAAGACCTTAATTTGTTTTAGTTTGAGCTAATATTAAACTAATAACGCAATGCGTCACACTTGAATAACTTTATTATGAATATTAGCATTTTTTTAGCATTAATGAAAAACTGACCCATTCAGTGCCCAGGGAGATAGGAAATTACTTAGACCTGCTTCAGTTGATGAGTTGAATCGCAATATTACATTGAATACAAGAACATTGATCAGATTTGTAAGAATCAGTTAAACTCAATAATGGGATGATTTATCAAACTTATGCTTACACAAAATGCTCTTACCAGGTTCCTTTGTCTCATCTTTCTCCGGGGGTAGAGATCGTGATGATTCCTCCATTGATTTTGTGGATGACACACTTGTATCTTTCTCAGCGTAATCGGAAGTAAAAAGAGAACGCGGAGAAAGGACGGGTGAACTTGGAACAAGGATGGGTGAACTTGTCTCAACTATTCCTTCTGTGTCACCTTCATCATCACTAAGTGGACATTCCTCAAGCTCGTCATTCTCTCCTGATGTCTTCCTTATTGGCGAACCTGGTGGGCCAAGATCAGCATCCGACTTTTCCTTTTCAGCATCCGACTTTCTCTTTTCAGCACCCGACTTTCTCCTTTCAGCATCAGTCACTCCCTTTTCAGCACCCGACTTTCTCCTTTCTGCATCCGACTTTCTTCTTTCAGCATCCGACTTTCTCCTTTCAGCATCGGTCTCTCCCTTTTCAGCAACCGACTTTCTCTTTCCAGCATCGGGCTCTCCCTTTTCAGAATCTGACTTTCGCTCTTCAGCTGAACGTGACGCAGATTCTGCTTCTGATTTTGGACAGGGCGGGATGTCGGAATCTGATCTTTTCTTTTCCGGACATGGCTTGGCCTTTTCATCTATTTTTTTCTCTTCTTGTGGTGGGCATGGTGGGAGTTCACCTTTTTTCTTCTGATCTGGTGAAGCTGAAGCACCTGATTTTCTACGTTCTGGTGAACCTGAAGTAGCGGCAGCACCTGATTTTCTACGTTCTGGTGAACCTGAAGTAGCGGCAGCACCTGATTTTTTACGTTCTGGTGAACCTGAAGTAGCGGTAGCACCTGATTTTTTATGTTCTGGTGAAGTTGAACCACCTGGTTTTTTCTGTGAACATACTGGGACAGTAGTACATGGCTTTTTGTATTTTATACATGGTTCACTTTTGTCCGCTTTTTTATTTGCACATGGTGGGATGGGAAGGCATGGTTTTTTTTCTCCTGGACATAGTATCTTTTCTACTGGACATGGTATGCTTTCTGCTCGAACAGGAGAACTTGATTTCTTTCTAGTGCTTGGTTGAATGGTGGGAATTGATTTTTTCTTTTCTACTGGAGCTGGTGGTGTAACTTCAGCTGCTGACTGTTGGTTTGGTCCACTCTTCAAGTGAACAGTTGATACTCGTTCAATTGTGGATTCATGGTACACTGTTACAGGTTCATTGTTACATGAATCACCATAGTCCATCAAAGAGCATTTTGTGGAAAGGCGCATGATAATCGGTTTATTAGTCGGCAATGGATCATTGCACTTGACATTAGATTTCAAATCAACTGGAGGATCCTGGTGGCTTTGAGCATTGGCAACTGTACAGACACTTGGCTGAGCTTGAAATAAACATTGATATGAGGAGGGTGTACTTTCTCTATGAGTGGATGGGACCGTCATACTCCCATAGGCAGACTCACGATGAGCAGATTGATTTTTATTTCCACATGGACAAGCTGCAGCTACTTGAGAGACAGGTTGGGGCTTTGGCGCACTTTCACAAGCACAAGGTGCAGCTGCAGGTTTAGATGCAGCTTGTGGACCAGGACATGCGGTCTTTGTCAAATTTTCACATGGACAGGCTTCCTGACGAGAAGGTGGAGGCTTTGGGGCACTTTCACATCCACAAGCCGCAGCTTCCTGCCGAACAGGTGGGGGCTTGGGTGCACTTTCACATGCACAAGATGCAGCTTCTTTAACAGATGGGGCCCTTGCCTTACTTTCACATGGACAAGGTGCAGCCTCTTGATGAACAGGTGGAGGCTTTGGCTTACTTTCACATGGACAAGGTGCAGCCTCTTGATGAACAGGTGGAGGCTTTGGCTTACTTTCACATGGACAAGATGCTGCTTCTTGAACAGATGGGGCCCTTGTTTTACTTTCACATGAACAAGGTGAAGCTTCTTGATGGACGGATGGGGCCTTTGGCTTATTTTCACATGGACAAGGTGCAGCTTGAACAGATGGGGCCCTTGTTTTACTTTCACATGAACAAGGTGAAGCTTCTTGATGGACAGATGGGGCCTTTGGTGCACTTTCACATGGACAAGGTGCAGCTTCTTGACGAACAGGTGGGGGCTTTGGCTTACTTTCACAAGGACAAGGTGCTGCTTCTTGAACAGGTGGGGCCTTTGTCTTACTTTCACATGAACAAGGTGCAACTTCTTGATGCACAGATGGAGCTTTCGGTGCAGTTTCGCATGGACAAGGTGCAGATTCTTTGTGAACAGGTGGGGGCTTTGGTGCACTTTCACATGGACAAGGTGCAGCTTCCTGCCGAACAGGTGGAGGCTTTGGTGCACTCTCGCATGGACAAGGTGCAGCCTCTTGACGAACAGGAGGAGGCTTTGGCATGCTTTCACATGTACATGGTGCTGCTTCTTGAACTAATGGGGCCTTTGCCTTACCTTCACATGTACAAGGTGTGGTTTCCTGACGAACAGGTGGGGGCTGTGGCGCACTTTCACACATGCAAGGTGCGGCTTCTTGACGCACTGGTGGCGGTTTTGGTGCACTTTCACACGGACAAGGTGCAGCTTCTTGACGCACTGGTGGCGGTTTTGGTGCACTTTCACATGGACAAGGTGCAGCTTCTTGACGGACTGGTGGCGGCTTTGGTGCACTTTCACACGGACAAGGTGCAGCTTCTTGACGGACTGGTGGCGGCTTTGGTGCACTTTCACACGGACAAGGTGCAGCTTCTTGACGAACTGGTGGCGGCTTTGGTGCACTTTCACACGGACAAGGTGCAGCTTCTTGACGAACTGGCGGGGGCTGTGGTGAACTTTCACATGTACAAGGTGGAGGTGCAGCTTCTCTATGAGGACATGGGGCCTGTGTCATATTTTCACATGGACAAGGCGCAGCGGCTTCTTGACGATACAGTGGAGCCTTTGGTGAGCTTTCACATGGACAAGGTGCCACTGCGGGTACAGGTTGACCAGCACCTGGACATGGAGCCTTTGTCAAGTTTTCACACGGACAAGGTGCAGCTTCTTGACGAAACGATAGCTCTTGCGAAGGAGGAGCGGGAATGAGATATTGATGGATAGGTTGAACATTAGACTCATAATGATAAGTTAATGGTTGTTTAGGTGAGGACATGGTATCATACTGAGGAGGTAGCTGTTGCTGATAAAGAGTCGGGGGCATAGACTGATATTGGGTTGGAGCTCCTTGTTGATAAATAGGCATAGACTGATACTGAGAAGGTACTGATGATGAATAGCCAAGTGAGGGCATAGTCTGATATTGAGAAGGTGGTTGGTAAACAGATGGAGGCATATTCTGATATTGAGAAGTTACTGTTTGTTGATAAAAGGGTGTGGGCATAGTCTGATATTGAGTAGGTGGTGCTTGTTGATACATAACTTGGGGCTTGGTTTCATATGTAGCAAGTACAGCTTGTTGAAGAGGTGGAGACTTTGTCTCATATAAGCCACGGTTACCTTGAGGACCAGGTGGAGATCTGGTCTCATAGAAACGTGCAGATTGTTGAACTGGTGGAGATACCCTAGACTCAAATACACCAGCTGCCATTTCTTGAGGGACTGGTGAAGCTTTAATATCATAAGAAACTGGGGATTGAATTTGCTGTGGAGAAGATACAGGTTCTTGGATAAAAGCCGGAGATTGCGCCTTCTGTGGAGTAGCTACAACCTCTTGACGAGCAAGTGGGGACCGAGCCTCATATTGAGTAGTAATAACTTGTCTTTGAACAGGGGATTTGGTCTCACGTAGAGGTGTACTTGCTTGTGGAACAGACGATGGCCTATTATCATATTGAGGTTGGACTCTTGTCTCATATTGAGGCCGTAATTGTTCTTGACCAGTACCTGGTGCCTTAATCATATAATCATATGGAGCATTGACAATATCTTGATGCATAGGTGGAGCCATAATCAAAGTCTCATATTGTAAAGGAATAACTTCTTGTCGAATAGAGGGGGCCATAATCAAAGGTTCAAACTGTGCAGGCATGCCATCTTGACGAAAATATGGGGCCCGAATCATAGTCTCATATGTAACAGGTAGAGGTTCTTGGTGAAAATATGGAGCCCTAACCATAGGCCCATATGGAGTAGGTACTGCTTCTTGGTGATAATATGGGGGCCTCATCATAGCTTCGTATGGAGCAGATACAGGTTCTGGGTGAGCTCTAGGTAAAGGCTCATTTGGTTCAGGTTCAGGTTCTTGAATAACAAATTTATTTTTTCTTGAAGTCTCAGGAGAAGGAGGTACAGGTTCTTGATAAACAGGTCCGCCCTTCTCAGATAGAATTTTAGCCAAAACTTCTTGATTAATAAATGAAGTATCCTTAGACAACACTTTTATATTATCATCCTCTCGTGAGGATGACCGTTGCAACTTCCCTTCAGCACTTACAGCTATCATGGTTGGTAAAAAAAAAAGGATATTTAGTAAGAATAATTAAATTTCAAATGTGAATATTTACAATGCATAATATATTATTCATAGCGATGCATAATTCATATACACACACGATACACTATACAGACTAGCATAATTCAAGAGTTCTAAAATATAATCTAAGCTGTGGTTCAGTTTTTGGTCAGCAGGTGTCTGACACGCGGAAAACCATCACCATGCTTAAGAGTATTCAAACCAGACAGAGTTTCATGTATGCCACCTATACATGGAAATACCTGGGTTTGGCACTCTCTTTAAGAGATGCACCCTCTTTACCTAAATCCATGGGTATTAGGCATAGGGTGGCAAGAACTAAGGCATGGGGGCCCCATAGTGTGCATTGGGGTACTCCTGGTGTTTAACTAGCTAATACTGCATCGATTGCCATTGACAGTAATGTCTGGCAAGCTTCCTACTACCATTCTAGCTAGGACTACTCTACCCTTTAGGTTTGCTGAGTTAACAGATGAGTGGAAAGATTTCCTTCCTCCAGCTATCAGTCTGCTCCTCCAAGTCCTTGTGAATGAGCCAGGATTGTGCAATGCCCTGGAGTACTGTGGATCTATGTCGCAGGAACTGGATTACCAAGACAGCTCAGAGGGTTGACTTGATTCCAACATTCCATTGTCAAGCAACTCATCTTGGAGCCAATTCTAAGGAGACCCCCCATTTACCTCGCAAGGATCAAAAGAACTTTTACAAATTAATCAGTGTGTAGACCTCTTCCCTGTTATTGCCTGTGCCTTGCTCCCAATAGAGATATCTAATCTCATTTCCTGGTTCTTTCCTCATACCTTTTTATTTCCTCATTCTTAAAGGTCTCAACTAAATCAGATTTCACCTCTGAGTAATACTGTGCAAAATAAATCTTCTAATTTCACATTTAATTACTGGTAATTAATTACAGTGTCTTCAGTTTATGCCCATTCACTGAATCAGGAATATAATCTTTCACTAATTACCTTCAAACATTTTCATAATTCTGAACACTTCTTAGATTTTCTCTTAACCTCCTTTGTGACACAAAATCAGTTTAAATTTAGATATTTATATATTTTCATGTACTCTACATACAGATTACTGCAAATTAGTGAAGGTGATAAGCTTTGTTTGCAATATTTGGGTGATAGAGATGTTGAGGGAATTGAAACTAGATAAATAAGCTGATCCTCACAACCATCAACAAGAGCATTGAAAGAAATGGCTGTCAATGTGAGGAAAGCACTGGATTCGATCCTTCAGAGCTTTCTGGGTTCTGGGGTTACCAGATGCGTGGTGAATATTGTATCTTTATTCAAGTAGATACAAAGAAAGTTAAAAAGATGATGTTTGTAATTATAGGCCAGTAAGTCTGACACCATTGATGGGGAAGTTATGACAGTAATGCATCCGGATAGACACAAGCTGATCAGGAGATCCAAAGTTTGGATAGCTCTTTTCACAGGGGCGGCACAGACACGTTGGACTGAATGGCCTCCTTCTGTGCTGTAAAATTCTATGATTCTATGAAATGGGTCTGTGCCAAGGGCAGATCACATCTAATTAATCCAACCAAATTAATTGGTGAAATCTTCGGTGCTAAGAGTGTGTGTGTATTTTTGTGTGTGGGGTGGGGGAGCAACTTTGGGTGCCTCAAATAGGAAAGATATATTGACTTTGGAAAGAGTGCAGGATAGGTTCAAGAGCCAAAGCTACAGTGAATGGCTCATTAGGTTTGGGATGTATTCTCTGAAGCTGAGGAGTCTTATTGCTGATTTGACCACTTGTAT